TAACTTTTATAGAAAATCTCTAGATTCTGAGATGGGAGGGAGGCTATTGATGTGTTCCAGAAATGAAGGTCAAATTCGTTCATAACACATCAAAAACCATCGGAAAAAGCAGTTTCAACTTCGATTTCGTATAGTGGCAACAAGTGAAATTATATCAAATACTAACCTTGTTACGTGCTTAAAGACCTAAGTTGTTGAAGCGCAGTAATAACATTATAATAACAGCAAAACCCAGGACAGCTTCACAGTCGCTGTCCTTGACGGAGAGAGCCTGCCATCCCTCCACTAAGCGAATGGTGTTGGGTAACTGACAAAAAAGACCAAAACCCTTTTAAATTCGGATCAAGGTAAATGTACAAACTGCGGGAACGTAAGTCGGTGGTAAACACGGGTCACAGGAAGAATCTCCACTCCAGCTTTTTTCACCTACATTAACCACTCTAAGGCTAACTTAACCTCATCCCACCCAAATAGTGCCAGGGTGGTTAATCTTTAGGTGAAGTAAGCTAGGGTGACGATTCTTCAGATGATCCATAAACGTTTCATGAGGTAATGAAGGTGGAAGAGTAAGAGATAAAAAAAAAAAACAGGTGAAGTTGAACGACACAAACCTATTCTGAACATAAGTACAATACGTACAAACTGAAACATGTCACTATCAAAATGGTCTCAACCGTTAAGATCCTGAGGTAATTCAATTGTTTAACTAATTTCCACCAAACTCAAGCATCTCTCTAAGATGATGAGTAAAAAAAACGAACATCAAAATTATAAGTTAAAAATATTTCTTTCCAACCCAATAAAAATTACGTTAGTGAACAAAGGCTTTGTTAGATTAAGACATTCGTACCCCCACTGTAGCCGGTTAAGGAGGCAATGGCATCAAACAAACAACAGCAGTCATGAACGCAAGCTTAACATCAATAAATGAAGGTAAATCTACTGCAGCATCACGCCAAAGGGCCATCACTCCTGAAAATTACTGAAAATGTTGAATACAAAATTCTTCTCTGGTCCTATTATCGTATATCCAAATACAGAACCCTGTTGATATTCGTTCAAGTTATCGTGTTCATAACTCCTGAACAAAAGCGTGCATTCCAATGCACCCAAGGATCCGGGTGGGAGCTGACCCCCACCTGCCCCCCAAACCCTTCCCCATTTAATTTGCACACTTTAATATTCACCGCCTTAACAGGTAGCGAACAAAATCGATCCTTCAGAATAGCCCAGATAATGGTCCGAAAATCATCTTATTGAAGGAATTTTTTTAGATAGGTTTAGAAATTGTCTAAAGGATCCCGAGCGCACCTATGAAACAAACCTTATCAATCATACACTGAAGTACTTAGTACGGCTGAGACACTCACCATTACTGTGTTAAAGTCAATCTTTAATCTAACAACACCAGGTTTGTATAAAGGTTATAAATGCCAGATGAGCTAACTATCGCACCTGAACTGTAACTGATAAGAAAGGTACCGGTAAGGTAAAACTACCATAAAGCGAGACAAAAAACATTTTCCTCACATAGAGCCGTGAGGGGAGGGGAGGGAGAGGCATCATAATACCGTTTTTTTCCCAGTGGGTCAATACCTGTGGAAACGAAACATCACACGACTTGCCTCATTCTGATCTAACAAGGAAATGCTGCAATCAACAATCCAAAAGCCGTGTTCCAAATGCAGCATATAAGGGTGCTACTATAGCGTGCGGCCTACAAAGATATCTTTAGTCTAACCTAAATATATTGTAGACCGCACGCTATGGTAGTTCCACCCATGACTATATTTTCTTTAATTCATCTTTGGCTGGGAGTACCCTCCTTCGGCAAGTTTTGTCCCTTCCTTTAAAATCTAGGAACTATTTCTGGTTAGCTGAAACAGTGACTAAAAAACAAAACAAAAATCTTTAGTGCATGATATTAAAAGTCCTGTTTATATATTTTCTTGTTGAAATTAATTCTAGGCAGGAGAAACCGATTACAAAGGTACACAGATAGTGAAGCGCATTTGCAACATCATACCAGGCGTCTTTTTATGTGTACCCCATCCTAGGAAAATTTCTAAATTAGTCACTAAAAGACAAATAAGAACATAAGAAAATAAGGAGTCTGCAATAGGCCGGTTGGCCTGTGCATGGCAGCTCCTGTCGAGAGTTACTACCACTCTCTATCATCCATGAACCTATCCAGCCTCCTTTTGAAACTGGATCTACAGTACACTGTCCACATAAACGAAATTAACATATAACGAACATAGAAACAATCACACAACAATCTAATAGGTATGCCAATTTTTCCCAAGCATGCAATTTCCTATCTTGTGTACAAGTGCTAAATGTACGGCAGCTATTTATCGTTTCAACAATGACATGAATATCATGTTCTAACAATGCAGATAGTATACTATTTCTGATAATAACAATACCACTGGACTATTACATCTTAGTTTCAGTATGAATAATGTATCATAAAACAAAATTAATGGTCCTCAAACATCAAACCCACACAGGAACACAATGATTACTAAGTATACTGTACTGTACAGTGCTGCAGTCTAGTGGATACAGCCTCACCTGTTCCAGGGGCGGTGGTTCGATTCCCGGGTGCTCCTAGTTCACACAGTTGTAGATGGGCACCCAAGTTTACAACTTAGGGAAGTGAATGCGGTCGAGTACAGTACCGGCCAAATTGCCTCCGTGTGTATCCACACTCTCTCTAATGGGGAGTCATAAGAAGATATGAATGGAGGAAACTGCAGCGGGCCTATTGACCCATATTGGGCAGTCAGTCCCATTTACACCCAACCCCCATTGCTCATATATCCACCAAGCCTATGCTTGAAGCTATCCAGCGTATTCGAGTTAATGATGATGTTTGGTAACTTGTTCCAATCGTCCACTACTCTATTTCTAAACCAATGCTTACCTATTTCGCGCCTAAATCTAAATTTGTCTAATTTGAAACCACTGCTACGAGTTCGCTCCTGGTTGGATAGTTTGAGTACCTTTATAATGTCCCCTTTGTTTAGCCCTGATTTCATTTATACACCTCATGCCTATGTTACCTACTTCGGTTGAGGCGTTGTGTAAATCTTGGGGAACGACTCGCCATATTACAAAACAAAATAAAGTATTAAGAACATAAGAACATAAGAATGGAGGAAACTGCAGCGGGCCTACATACTAGTCCTCTATTGCTCATATAGCATCCAACCTATGTTTGAAGCAATTCAGCGTATTCTGGTAACTTGTTCCATTCATTACTCTGTTTCCAAACCAGTGTTTACCTATTTCACTAAATCTAAATTTGTCTAATTTAAAACCATTGTTACGAGTTCGCACCTGGTTGGATAATTTGAGTACCTTTGTAATGTCCCCTTTGTTTAGCCCTGTCTTCCACTTATACACCTCTATCAGGTCGCCCCTCGCTCTACGTCTCACGAGGGAGTGCAAATTAAGATGCTTTAACCTGTCTCTATACTCAAGGTTCCTAATGCCCGGGATTAGTCTTGTCATTCTCCTCTGAATTCTTTCCAAGGATTCTATATCCATTCTGTAATACGGTGACCAGAACTGAACCTAATCCAGGTGTGGTCTCACAAGAGCAAGATACAGTTTTAGGATGACCTGAGTCTTGTAACTAACACTCCTTTGTATGAACCCAAGTACTTTATTAGCCTTGTTCATTGTTTACTTGGCTTGTTCCTACTTATCATTACTCCTAAATCTCTCTAGTCGGATTTCTCTATGGCATCGTTGTTCATCTGGTATCTGGTTTCCCTGTTTACATCTCCTATACTGAGTACTTTACATTTGCGAATTTCATCTGCCATTTTTCAGACCATTCGAAAAATTTGTTTAGATCTTCCTGTAGTTTTTGTCCTCGTCAGATTTGATAACACGTCCTATTTTAGTGTCATCAGATGTTGCTGTCTATGCCGATATCTATGTCGTTTATGTATATAATAAACAATAATGGTCCAAAACACTTGTGACGTTGCTCCAATGGGAAGTGCCGTTAATGTCATCCTGTAATGATCAAACAATTACAACGCACAAGATAATGAAAATTGATCTACTTATGGTACTGTACACCGGGATAGGTTAAATCTTTCCCTAGAGCACAATGAACGTTTATGGACACGATCTAAGAAATTTTTCAGCCATTAAAATCGTTTTCTCCCTATAACATACAGTAGTTTCTGCCCATTCGGCGATTGAAAACAGACCACCCTGAATTATAAATCGAATTTTCGCAGATTTGTTCCTGCAAAAATATAGTTCAATGATGTTTTTTGTTTATATAACAAAACGTCGAAGCCACAGTCTCTGTACTATTTCTTTAGGTCGGTACTTTTTTCTCTGCAGTCCCACATTTGCATTAAAAACGGTTTTTGTGAAAATATCGAAAAGAAAATTATCATAATGTTTAAAGGAGACCGACACACCACTACCACTACCCCAGGAATTTACTGCATTCACATAAAAAACGGAGAGGTGCAACAGACACTACCAAACATGAAGTACATGCACTACATTGTTATCCAAAATTGTAGGTACTTATATTTTCCCCATATTCTATACAGGGTAAACTTCCTGTTGACACATTACAACTATGAATATATTACCAGTAAAGGAGAAGACGTACGCTCCAGTGTTTTGGGATAAGTGTCACTTAAAAAAATAAGCCTCACTTGAGCTGTCTATGTACTATTAAAAGCGTACCCCTTGAATTACCTTAGCCCATAAATTTACCAATACTTACGCTACCAAATCCAATGAGATATGGTGGTCCTACTTCCCCATCAATAAGACCAACTAAAAAGAAGACCGGGATGATTGCCTTTGAAGAATTCTTTAAAGCAATTACAGCAGTGTGTTAGTAATACTGTACCATGGGAGGCAATCATCCCCATCTCCCTTGTGGTTAATCCCACTTCAGCGAAAACTTAAGGGTATCCTTAACTTGTACTGTCCAACTCTGTAACCTGACTTACCATTGTAGTTGTCAAAGGCTGTTGGGACATATTCTGTGGGATAGCCATTGGTAGTGTATGAGACGACTAGCGAGGTCTTGCCGACGGATCCATCACCCACCAAGACACACTTGAGCTTGGTCTTGACCTCGCCATCGGGAGACCCCATGAGGTAGGCCGACGCTGTCGGGTCGTGGGGCCGCACCAGGGGAGGCATAGTCGCCCCCGAGCCTCGGTAAATCCAATCGTACGTCGCGCCCTGCCCCGAAGTAGTTCCCAAGGTACTATACGGCGGTCGTTTATACGACTCTGAACTTGAATGAAATAATTCTCGAGTGTACCTGTCGATGGACCGCAAGCTCTTCAACATGAGGCTAAAGGCTCTGTGCCCGGTGATACTGCACACAACTACACTATTAAATACATCAGGATATCAATACCAATGCGATATTTAGTCACATCTAAAATAATATCACTATAATATCAGGCGGCACATGACAAACGCCTTAACACTTGAAGCGAAGACAACACCGCCCCACCCCACAGTCAGACTCACACTGACCCGTGTTGACGACTGAAGAGAGCAACAGCTGATTCCGTGACGTCACAATGAACTCCGCCCATGATTGGCTCAACTTAGCATTCTCCTATTCCAGTATTTACTGATAAGGAGGCAGTAAAACAGCTCCGTTTCAAAGAATAATACTATATTACAATACTATAAAGGTAGTAAACTCACTCAAGCGGAGAAAAACGTCAGACACAAGGTGAAATTACCGATTATAAGAATGATGCCAAAAACTAAATAATTACGTTACTAAAAGGAAATAAATGAATCTATATTATCGTATTAACAAATTTTCTTAATAAAAGTACCATATCCTCAGCTTAATTGTCAATATGAGTGTCGGAATTACTTTTAAAACTTTTATTATACGCAACACGACGCTCTTACATCTCGTGTTTAGCTGAACCAGAGATACCAACCGTCCAAGTCCAAGACGGGTACAAGGGCATTCCAGAATATTTCAGAATAAAGTTTGATTAGATTATATAGATATTAATTTTTTATTTTGTTAGTAATTACTTTATTAGAAGATGTACTTTCGTTATTTATTAGAGTTCATTAGGTAACACGGTACATTTACACTTGGCCATTGTGACTCCCGGAGTGGTAGCAGAGTTGCCAACTTAGCGACTTTGTAGCTAGATCTAGAGCTTTTTGTTTTTTTCTAGTGACATTTTAGAGCGATTTGCGACTTGTCGTAAACCTAGAGATATCCACAGAAATCTAGCGACTTTCTGGATACTTTTGGACTGTCCATGAAAACTCAGTTTTCCTAATTTCGAGCCATAATATGTAGCAACGGGGTTACAGGGACAATACATTTGAACGGGTTGAACTCATAAAACAACTTGGTCAACTCTTACCTGACAACATTCGTGTGCTGCAGTCTATTTCTTTTCTGAGTGCCGATGAATGCTTGAAGCTTATTAAATCAGATATACTTGGTTTGGCACACTTATTTACAGAAGATTCCAGCACCCTTACCAAGATTGATTTCCAGTGGAAAAAACTGCATCACACAATCTGGACAGAAACATCTAACACCCTAAAATTGTGGTCAGAAGTGGCAAATTACAGAGATGCGACAGGTGAAAACCCTTACCATGATCTGGCTGAAGCACTCGCTGCCTTATCTCTTCCGCATTCAAACGCAGATGTAGAGCGCACATTTAGTAATATGAACTTTGTGAAATCAAAATTGCGCAACAAAATGAAACTATCGACATTAAAGGCAATTCTTACAATAAAGTATGGGTTAAAAAGACAGAACACCTGTTGTGCAAGTTATGAACTTCCTAGTGATATTTTAAGAAAGATAGGGACTGTGGAGGCATACAGTTACAAGAGAACCTGAACCAAGCACTTCACATGCTTCCAGCTCTACAGTTGTTCACACTACCAAGAGGACTGGGATGCAATTACTATTGAATAATAGGTAAGTGTGCACATTAAACTTTAAAAAAAATAATATTTTTATTTTTACATAATGCATTTTATTTATACTGAAGGGGGGGAATAATAGCTAGCGACTTTCCATGGAAGATTTAGCGACATTTAGCTACTTTTAGGTACCAGCCTAGCGAGTTGGCAACCCTGAGTGGTAGTACTCCAGCTCTCTCTCCACCGGTCACAAGTATAATATACCTTCAAGTTAACTCTATATTAAAGGGTGTCACGTAAAGATTTACTTCATAATATTAGTCTATATGTATTAACAATCAATATTTAATGTAATCTTGCCTTTTAGTTTACGTTAGAGATTGTGTGTAAATGAATTACTAGTTTTACCGAGTCCTCCAAATCGAGAGTAAACCTATTGATGTTTTCTTGGGTCAGTTTTCACCAATGCACCGGTCTTTGTTTGGAAATTAAAAATATGTTCTCCTGATGTTATTTGATGAGTTTTGAACGAATTTTATATTCATTTCAGCTGGAAATCAATATTTTTTTAGATCCCCCCCCACCCTACCCTACAATCTTAACGAAAATGTTTTTTATTTCAAGTAAATAACATAAATATAAAAACAACAAACGAACAAAACAAAACCTAACCTAACCTAACACAATTTTTCTGATGAACCTGCAATTGACATGAAATAATCTTTATCACAATGTCGGCACAGCTCTTTCCACCTGTTCAGCCATATCTGGTTATTCTGGTACTGAAAAATAAAATCTCTGCTCCCGACGCATCCACGCATTGCTCATTGGCTAAGACAAAAAATCTAGCCCAATTTTAAGTCTCCTATCGCTATAGCCAATAAGAAACCCTGACCTAACTCACGGTGTTTACGTAACCAGACATAAGAATTTAAGAATGGAGGAAACTGCAGCGGGCCTGTTGTTCCATACTGGGCAGTCCCATTTACACCCAACCCCTATTGCTCATATATCCATCCAACCTATGTTTGAAGCTATCCAGCGTATTCGAGTTAATGATGATATTTGGTAACTTGTTCCACTCGTCCACTACTCTGTTTCCAAACCAATGTTTACCTATTTCGCGCCTAAATCTAAATTTGTCTAATTTAAAACCATTGTTACGAGCTCGCTCCTGGTTGGATAGTTTGAGTACCTTTGTAATGTTCCCTTTGTTTATCCCTGACTTCCATTTATATACCTCGATTATGTCGCCCCTCACTCTACGTCTCTCGAGGGAGTGCACATTAAGATGCTTTAACCTGTCTCTGTACTCAAGGTTCCTAATGCCGGGGATTAGTCTTGTCATTCTCCTCTGAATTCTTTCCAAGGATTCTATATCCATTCTGTAATACGGTGACCAGAATTCAACTGTGTAATCCAAGTGAGGTCTCACAAGCGCAAGATATAGTTTTAAGATGACCTCGCTGGTCTTTGTATGAACCCAAGTACTTTATTAGCTTTGTTTCAAGCAAATACACATTGCTTACTTGGCTTAAGATTCCTACTTATCATTACTCCTAAATCTCTCTCAGTCGGATTTCTCAATAACATCGTTGTTCATCTGGTATCTGGTTTCCCTGTTTACATCTCCTATACTCAGTACTTTACATTTGTCCACGTTGAATTTCATCTGCCATTTTTCAGACCATTCGAAAAATTTGTTTAGATTTTCCTGTAGTTTTGCCGAGTCCTCGTCAGATTTAATAACACGTCCTATTTTAGTGTCATCAGCAAATTTACTTATGTTGCTGTCTATGCCGATATCTATGTCGTTTATGTATATAATAAATAATAATGGTCCAAGTACTGAGCCTTGTGGAACTCCACTAGTGACGTTGCTCCAATGGGATTTAGTGCCGTTAATGCTCACTCGCTGTTTTCTGTCCTGTAACCACGCCCTAATCCATTTTAGAATATCACCTTTAATGCCATGAGCCTCCACTTTTCTTATTATTCTTTCGAAGGCTTTGCTAAAGTCGAGATATAGCACATCATAATTGTGCCCCTCGTCCATTGATTCGAAAACTGTTGAAAAGAATGTTAATAGATTAGTTAGACATGAACGCCTGCTTGTGCTTCTCCAGGTGATTTCGAATAGAGTTTGAATTGATTGCTTCCAGTAATTTGCCTACAATTGATGTTAGACTGATTGGACTGTTGTTAGAGGATAGTGATCTATCTCCCTTCTTGAAAATCGGTATTACACTCGCTATTCTCCAGGATTCTGGTACTACACCTGCTTTTAAGGACTTTGCTGAGGGCATACTAAGCTCTTCCTTACATTCCTTTAATACTCTGGTAAATATCTCATCGGGACCTGGTGACTTATTAGGCTTTAGTTTGTCTATTTGCTTACTAACATCGTTACTAGTCACTACTATCTCGCTTAATTTATAGTGTTTTATAGTGGACACTGTCGTAGTTGTGGCAAATGTGTTAAAAGGTGTTTATTTAAAAGTTCAAGTTAACCTAACCTTAACTAACCTAACCTTACCTTAAACTAAACTAGCATAACTTAACACCTGCCGTGGACGAACTTACTATTACTGAGACGGGAGAAGCGGCTGTGAAGTCCGTCATATTAGCCTGACTTACATATGACGGGGGAAGCCCTCAGTTAGGATGTTAGGTCAGGTCATTTGCAAGGGAAATATCATAGAAGAAAAGTGTCATAGATCTGTCTAAATGGTAAATATTTAGTAGTTGCCAACACTTAATTTACTTTTGAAAATGTGACTCAATATTCAGTTAGGTGTTGGCAACTACTAAATATTAACCGTCTAAACAACTGATTCCAATAGTTAAATTCCTAATATTCCCCGGATGACTGAAATTAAAACTTTACCAAACAATTATCTGTCAATGCCACGACTACGTTAGGTTCTTTTATTTATGTTTATAATCCCATACAGAGTATTATCCTTCTACTTTGATATGGCATCATGTGACACACTATTATGACACCAGATGTACTGTATATAAATCAGTCAATAATGATTTTGTATGTTTGTATGTGTATTAAAACCTGTGTTTGTCTCCCCCAGCTCATGGGTTTTATATCATACCTGTGCCACCGGTTGTTCCGGCTAACAGTAGACATTACTGTGTTGCTGATGATCTTTGTTCTGCTGCCTGGGATTCCTCCATATGTGTCTTTCTCCTCATATGAGTAAGTCAGGTGTTGTTCATCTGTTTCACCAGAGCCTGAAATGGCAAGTACAGTACAGTTAGGTATCCAAACAGGAAGTTGGGGTTTAAAGGAGGAAGGAGAAGAAGAAGAAAGAGAAAAGAAGGAATAAGAGGGTTTTTCTTGATTTTTGCAAGTTATTAAAGGAAAATTTGTGCTTCAAAATTTTTGAACACCAAGAAAAAATTATTTTTGGTAATTTATGAAGAAACCACTACTGTACCACCAAAAGTAGGTTTTCAATTTTCTTAATTTTTTCCACAGATGTTCGTAAGTTTTTTAGTTTTTCTCTATCTACGACCATAAATCACCTGTATTGGGCAGGGCATGAAGGATGAGGGAAATTGTGGGGTAAAACACGGTGAAAAGCTGATCATATAACATTAAAATGATGTCTAATTGCTTTGTACGTGAAGAAATGAATTACTTACCGTAAACCCCCCCCCCCCTGAAAAATCTGCCAAGTCACCGTGTGTCGCCTGTTTGTTTACATCCGACCTGCTTGGTCCCAATGTACTCTAATGTCCACATAAAATCCTGACATTTCAACAAAGTTGCTTTCATTGGTACTGTACCAGATATCAAAATAAGCACTTTCTGTTTAATATGGCAGGGGGTCTGGTTGGTTAGGTGGGGTTCTATTAGGTTCCCACTCCTTCTGGCGGGAGTGTTGTTCGCATACAATACCCTTTTTAAAAGTGAAAAATATTATTAATTGTATTTAATGTTCTCATAAGATATTTAGCTTAGACTTTTCTTACTTATTTCCAATAATCTTTTTCATGTTTCTGCTTCACTTCTTTTCAGACCACAAGAGTTCTTGCCTCTGGAAGGACCACTAACCCGGAATAATGTGTTGGATGCAGCAGACAGGATTATGGATGGCAAAATTGTTGGTCCAGAATCCATAGCCTCCCGTAATCCAGAAGAAATCTTTGTCAGCTTACATGGAGGCAAAATTCTTCGTATTTGGGGTCCTAGATTTGACCATTTCAAGATTGCTGCTTCAATTGGACCTGGCTGTGGTAAGAATCTTTTCAGTATGATTGTATACAATGCTGTATATAATGTAAAGTATATTAAGTGGTATGTTTGTTAGTCAAGTTATAGGATACAAGAGCCATGGCTGATTGATTTTTTAATCATGTGAGAGGAAACAGAACAGTACCATATTCTCACTGGAACAGTGTTTGATTGTTATGTCATTGGTGATCAAATTGAAGTTATTTATGTCCAGTATTATGCTGGCTCAATTTATTGGTCATCGATTTTGTTGATCAAAACTGAGATCACTTTATCTTCATTGTACTGAATAGTTTCTATTTCAAGGTTTTTGGTAAATTTGACATACGTCTTCCATACAAAAATTACCGTATTTTACGGCATATAAGATACACGACCACATTAGTAGGGAGTATTTAAGAAAAAAATTTGGTGTGGATTTTCCTCCTGCAGCCATAGTTTTCTTAAAATAATATATACAGTATTGTACCAGTAAATGTGAGGGATAAATGAAACTAATACCAATAAATAAGTTACAACAAAAAATACTGTATTGCCAAACCAGTAAATAAAATTCAAATGAAAGTTTAACACAGTTGTCATTTGCAAATATAGTGGTCCCTCGGTTAATGAACACAATTCGTTCCAGAGGGTCGTTCGTTAACCGAATCCATTGTTTCAATGGGATTTTGGGTAATTGGTTCCAGCTCACCGAAAATTACATACAAAGTAAAAAAAAATGCAGTAAAGTACACTTACTTTGAGGTGTGTATGTAAAAGGCTCCTTGTTGATGATGCTGATGTGAATTTGAAGTGGGAGGTGGAGGAGGAGAAGGGAGAAGAGAAGGAAGTGGAGGTGGAGGAGAAGCATTTTACTGCTTCTTGGAAGGCGAGTCACCTTCCATAATAATGTCAGGTACCTCTGGACTGACAGATTCTCCAACAGGAAAATCCTCTCCTTTTTGAAGTGGAAGGCTGAGGGGAAGCATCTTTCTCCCACTGCCTTTTAGAGAAGAAACTGTCAATTTTTGGTTGTGGGGCATTTCTCCTCCTGATCATTAACTGATTTTTGAAGGAGACCACTTTGTCCTCAATATTACACAAAATAACTTCTCTTATTTCCACATCAGGGTGCCTTGAAGCCAGTTTCCTAAACATCTCCCAGTAGTGAACAACATCTTTTAAATCGTAAGAAGACATATGGTCATCACTTTCCCTTTCCTCCTCACCACTCAGTTTCTAACATCTCATCCAGTTGCTTCAAGTCTTTAGGAGTAAGTTCCTGCTCATGAGACATTACAAGCTCTTCCACATCATCATCCTCCACTTCCAGTCCCATTGAATGACCAATGGACACAATCTCCTTGTCCAACTCTGTTTCTTCCTCAAATCCCTCAAAATCATGGACTGCTGATGGCCACAGTGCTTTCCATGCATAATTCAGGTATTGAATGGAGATTTCTTGCCATGATGACACAATAAATTTTACAGCCTCCAGGATGTTGCATTGCGTCTTCCAGAACTGTGCCAGTGATAGATCAGGATCTGTGGTAGTTGCCTGATGACACCTTCTGAACATTTTCTTCATGTACAGCTTCTTGAAGTTGCTGATTACATTCTGGTCCATTGGCTGCATAATTGATGTAGTGTTGGGAGGCAAAAACAACACTCTGACAAAGTCAAATCGACCCTCCAAAGTGCTGGCAAGTTGAGGGTCATGACCAGGGGCATTATCCAGAAGGAGAAGAGCCTTTAAAGGGAGTTTATTGGTGGTTAGGTAGCTCTTCACAGAAGGGCAAATCACCTCAACAGCACATTCATTAAAGAGCTGTCTTGATACCCATCCCTTACTGTTGGACTTCCAATAAACTCCAAGTTGTCCTCTTACTACCTTTTGTTGTTTGAACACCCTGGGGTTCTCAGAGTGGTAGACAAGCATAGACTTCAGTCAGAAATCCCCTGAAACATTGGCACCAGGCAATAGAGTAAGACGGTCCTTCATGGTTTTATGCCCAGGTAAAGAGGCTTCATCTCTGGCGATGAATATCCTTTTGGGCATTTTATTCCAGAACAGCCCGGTTTCATCCACATTGAACACTTCCTGTGGAAGATAATTTTCTTCATCCACCAGTTCCATAAACTCCACTACAAATTTTGCTGTTCCTTCTTTATCTGCACTGGCAGCTTCACCATGCCTAACAACACTAAAAATTTCACTTCTTTTCTTAAATTTCTCGAACCAGCCTTGCTGGCCCTAAACTCTTCAAACTCAGTTTCAGAAGAACTAGGTTGCTCTTCCTTCAAATGTTCGTAAATTTCTCTGGCTCTTTCACAAATAAATTCAGTAGAAATTGAATCTCCTTTCATTTGTTTTTCGTTAACCCAAATAAGAAGTAACCTCTCTGTTTCTGCAATTAATGCTCTACCTTTAAACACTCTGGTAGATTTATCTCTCACTTTCACTTCTTTAAATTTGTCTTTCTGCGAAAGAATTGTCGACATAGTTGATGCCGACATGCCATATTCTTTACAAAGCACATTTTTTCGAATGCCTTCTTCATGTTTCTTAATGATTTCCTGTTTCACTTGAATTGAAATTGCCTTTCTAGATTTCTTTGGACCCATGCTGGATTCAATACAGTAATTTCACCACCAAAATTTTAAGTTCACTAGCTGTAATTAAAGATTATTTTATTTAAATCAACACTGCACTGCGCTATATATTATCAATATGTAAATTAAAGTTCAGAATGACCAATAATTGTACTGTAAAAATGTAAAAATACTCTGTGTTCAAGAGACCCACAAGCAAGATGTTTCCTCCACTGAACAGAGACACAAACAGATGCCTTGGTGGGTGAGTGAAGTAGCTGATGGGCACACCAAAAACTAGTTCCCTGTACTGCGATTATGTTAAATAAGTGTTAAAATGACTAATAATTTTAATATAGAACTTGGAAAAATATTGAATAGCACAACCTTCTTGATATTTACTCCAATGGAAGCGAATGTAAACCCTAGAACCGATTACTGTATTGGCGGACTAACCTACCAGCTGATGAGCAAGCCAAAACATGTTGACATGTTTTCGTAAGAATTTAATTAATCGAATTTTTGTTCGTTAACTGAATTGAAGATTCTTATGGAAAGTAATTCATTAACCGAAACATTCGTTAACTGAGGGACCACTGTACTGTATTCCCTGGCCTGGTTCACCATAGCATTGCTGACACTACCCCTGCCGAATCCCAAGCAATGCTCCCCCGCACACGCCTCGCCTCAGCTCCTCCCGCTTTCCTGAGCCAGCTGACTCCTGTGCACAGAAATGTATATACCCTTCATTTGTTTGCCTGTAAATGACAATTATTTTCTTTTTTCACAATATGTATGTAGGATGGTGTGTGCAGGTAACCAAGATAAAATAAATGAAGAAAGTTACGTATATCTACAACCATGACACCTCACAGCTTGGCCCAGTAGCCTGGTGGTTACAGTGACAAGTCTAACCTGGCTACAATGCCGCCAGTGATGTTGACATATACAAATGTAAAAAGAAATTTATCTGTAACTCTTCCTATGTATCAGGTATTTGTAGATTTAAAAATAAATGTTGCAGGTATGGCATTAATAGATTGTAATGCTTGTAAGAGTTCAGAAATGGTTACTGCTTAGCTGCCTCTGTAGATTTGTGTGTCTGCCGTACAGACGTTAATCGTCTCAGGTTATCATCAGCGCAGTACAGGTACTTTTAATTTGAGCTTTTATATTTACAACAATTATTTTTTAAATAATTAACAATTGTAATACAGGTTGGACCTCGCTAATCTGGGACCCAATAGTCCAGCAGCTTCGATGGTTCAGGACTGTGCCATAGCTCGCTTCTAGTGGCTGTTGCCACTATTTTACCTTTAAATACTTTTAATTTACCCCTAAATATGCCTCCTAAGAGACCAGCAAGCAATGGAAGTGGTTGTAATGTCTAAACTGAAGAAATAAGACAGTGGTACATCAGTCAGGGCCTTGTGTGCCTTTTTTTAATCTCTGCTTCGATGTTTCGGAATTTTTGATAATCCTGAACCGGTCTGGTCCCAAGCTTCCCAGGTTAATGAGGTTCAACCTGTAATGTGTTTAAGTAAGCAATAACATATATTTAATTCTGGGGTTGGGCTAGGTAGAATTTAGCCTACTGGAGACAGCATCTGTAGGATTCATTTGCTTATGGGAGACCTCAACTTCATGTATGGGACGCAGGCTGATTTTTTAGCCACTTTTCAAACAAAGAGTGCATCTTATATGCCGTAGAATACGGTACTTATGAATAATAATAATAGAAAGCGAATATTTGGTCATATTGTACACTGTCCCCCCCTCCCAGTCTGTCTCCAGGTGCCATGTAAAGTACTTTTGAAAGGGGCCAGACTCAGAGGCATGGGGATGGTGTACATCTAGCATTACCACTACTTGTTCTTAGACCTTTTGTTTCCAGATTTGATATGCCATATACAGGTTTAACCCCTTCTCTGTGGGATGCCACTTTTACTAATTTGTTTGGGTAACACTAGATGATTTTATTCAGCACAAGGATTTAAGTACAATATTCAAAGTAAGTTATGCATGCATGCATTTGTCTGTCCAAAATATGAAAAACAGTACAGGTAATTGGAAATTTAATACAGTCAATCCTCATATTACGCGGTTAATGTAACCCGGAGGGTCCCGCGGAAAGTGAGAAACGCGTAAAGTGAATAACATAACATATGGGATTAATTGAAATGGAGTCCGGGCCGATCCCCAAACTCCACTTTTTGACGACACACAACTATGTTGTAGTAAAAATATTATCTTAACTTTATGATGGCATGCACACACAATTAATAATTAAGAGAAATATCAATAATATTAGGTTTTTTAACACTTACATTAGTAGAAAAGATGGCTGGGCACACGGGGATGGGCGGTTGGTTCCGAGGCAGAGGGCAGATTATTGGCCCTCACCTGTATCAATTGTATCACTATCCACCACAGAGGCTTGCAGGGCCTCTTTGTCAAACCCCCCAAAGTTCATATAAGTCCATATCCTCACTATAATTATCACTATCACTGACTTGGGCCGGCTGTAGTGGGTGGCGGGTGAAGAACTGGTAATGTTTTGATGACTGGGCGACCTTGTGCGCACCATTTTCGCGCCTCTTACACAACATGGCGGATGGCGGGAGGTTTGGATCCAAAAATGGCGTGGCTTGCCAGCCGCTCTCCGCATAATGGGGTTCACGACCGCGGAATGTGAGAATGTTAGGTTCTGGCAAGGCACCGCGTTAACGGTGAAACGCGGAATGCGGGACCGCGTAATATGAGGATTGACTGTATAACATATGTTTCAAAATTTATACAACAGGCTTGGCATTAACTTTTACTTATTTTATGACAACTTTTGTTCATAGATGGTCCTTGGCAGGAGAGGATGTGTGGGCGGCCACTGGGATTAAGATTTGCCCCTGATGGACGCTTATTGGTGGCTGATGCCTATCTTGGCCTCTTTGCTGTAGATGTTGACACTGGTGAGTAATTTGTATGTTCAGTTAGCACTTTCTTGAATATACTTACACAACTAACTGTAATAAGTTTTATGAAAGTATTTTTTAAATGAAAAGGCTCATCCTTGTATGTAAATTAAGAAACATTCAAGTTTTACCACGGGATGATTATGAGTACTACAGTGTATATAGAAGTTCCTTTCTTGACACAACTTAGGGCTGTATTCACAGTCGTCATGTTCAATAGTGAGCCCAACCATCAGGCACCATACACTTGTGTAGAGTGAGGTCATTCAAGAACGTGCTTTGGGCACTACGATGGGTCGGGATCCTGATGAACTGGGCAAGGCTACCAACATTTCCAAATCAGCTGGATGGTCCACTTTTGCTACAACCCAAGCCTCAAGTACCTCAATAATATTTCCCTCAAACACAAAAAATGTAACCAACACGAACAAAAAAATTCACATCATGTGATCAAACGAACATAAAAGTGTTGAGAGGATATTTATGGGATACCTGTATATAAATTATTACTCTCTGGTATTTGTGAGGTTTGTTTTGAAGGTTATGTTTCACCGAATGTTGGCCACACTGGGATGGCCAACACCTGGTGTGCTGCGAGTCAGCTGTTACAGCATGGAGTGAGGAGGCCAGGGAAATCTGAATACTGTAGTCATCAACGGAGCGTACCGCTGTCCTTTAAACGGCACAGTGCTCTTGTTAGCCTTATTCAAGAGAAGGGCAAAGTTATACTGTACAAGAAATGGCACGTATTCATCCATCCTCAAATATGGCCTTACCTTTTATCAAGTGGATACTTAGCCTAGAATTCCTAACCTAATCACATTTATTCTGTAGCCTCGTTAGTATTTCACAATTTTTTTATAATTTGTAAATTATTAATTGTTTCAGAATGTTAATACAGTATTATTTCATTCTGTTTTACTTAATTTCTGTTACCCATTTTTGAATATTGTGCCCCAGTTTGATTCTCAGCTGCAGTACCACTTAAAAATAACTGATATGGTTTTAAATAGCCACATTCCTTTGTGAGAGGCTGACTAAGCTGATCTTAAATATCGTCATTTCGTTGGTAATTTATGATTGTTATATGAAATATTCATTTCTTGCTCTAGGAACATCAATTATTATCAAGTACATAAATGTGCAGGTGTGTTGACATATCTCTACAAGTAGATGTTTGTTTCTTTTCTAAAATACTGCTTGCAGTCCTCGAGTATTTAGCAACGCAGTGTTGGTTACGCACAGCTGCATGCTCATGATCAGCCGGTATTATTTAACACTTGTAAATAACTGACAGTCTTTGAATGTATCCCTGTACAGTATATGGAAACAAGACTTTGTCAACATCAAACTCATTTCCTGTCAGTTTTGAATACATCTACTTCTATCTAAATAATGTACCTGTATGTATATCAATACTGTATATGGAAGGTGAAAAAGTTATTTTTTTATTAATTGGGACTGCCATAGGGTGGGTACCCCCTCCCAGTGAAATATTCCAACGATCCCAATAGCAGACCTGATCCACCGGGACTGCCTTCGGATCTATGGCGTCTCTGAATGACCTCACCCGACGCTGTTTCCAATTGGTTGGGTGGTGTAACAACTATGAATAAGGCCCATTAGTGTAAGGTTCTGTTATGTAGCTCCTGGTGTTTTATTGTATGTACGTATAAAGAAGCAATATCTTATAAACTTATAATCTGCAATGACACATTTAGTGTATCAAGACCAGCAATAAGATCTTGTGCATCTTTGTAATACAAATTCCAAAATGGCAAAATAGATGTAAAAACCACACATGTTCAGTATCCTAGTTGAATGCAGTGAAGCCATATTCTCTTTTTACTGTAAGTGTAGTGTTATCACAGAACCCCAACAATTATACAAGAAACCCCAGTTTTTCAGAGAACTTTGGTCTCTTGGATTTAATAGTTGGAAGTGCTAGAACAAACGCTGCTGCTTAATTAACTACCTAAAGACTTCTTACGAGTTAAAATGCCATTTAAATTTCAGGTGAGCAAGAGAAGTTATTTGATAACTTGCAGGAGATTGATGGCTTGGTACCAAAAATACCTAATGATCTTGACGTAGATGCAGAGGGTAATATATATTGGTCAGATACTTCTACAGTTTGTTCACTAGATGAGGGTGTGATTGAATATCTTAGTGACCCATCTGGCAGGTTAGTATGTCAAGTGTATTGTATTGTTCATTGTATCGTAAAGTGTGGCTACTGCTATTACTATTTTTTTCTCTAAGATTTGAGAGCCATGAATAAATAGTCCAGTACTGTACATATGTTAATTTTTTAATTTTTTATTGATCTTTTTTTTTTTAACCTGTAAGCCATGTTGAGGTGAATCCATATATTGTACTGTATACATCCCTTAAATCAGGCATGGGCAACCTGTGTCCCGAACCATACTTTTGTGTGGCCTGCAGAGTGATTGAGAAATTCAATTTAATGTGGCTTGCGGTTCAGGTAGATGTTGCCAGTTTATGGTGAGTAACGTAATATTAAGGGGATAATCATCACACCCAATTCAATACTGTTTCATCAACAATATAAACATTTTAACTTGTGTGAGTTTACGGGCCAAGTTCGGCGCAGTCTCTAATGGATTAGCTTCGATGTGGCAATGGGTCACTTGGGAATTAACTAAGGTTGGGTAAGTCCAAGTGGGGTCACGGGCTGTGGTCACACTGTCAAAGATAAAGGTCTCTTCCTTGTTGATAAACTGTCTCTCTCCATAGTAACTCATCTTTCATGCCTGACTGTCTGTTCTATCTCTTTATTCTTGTCTGATTAGGTCTCTCCATGGGCATATACTGTATATTTATATACAGTAATTCTGCAAAATTACTTACAAACAGATAACCTAACCTTATGGTTAGGACTTAGGACAACACATAATCCAAAGAAAAAAAAAAAAAGAACAGGACCACTTAATTGTGTTTCAAGCTACACGAGACATCCTAACCTAACCTTATGGTTGAATAAGGTTAGGTTAGGATGTCTCGTGTAGCTTGAAACACAATTAAGTGGTCCTGTTCTTTTTTTTTTTTTTTCTTTGGATTATGTGTTGTCCTAAGTCCTAACCATAAGGTTAGGTTATCTGTTTGTAAGTTATTTTGCAAAATTACCGATTCTGCAAAAAAAGTAACATACATCTCCCACCACGATCTCCCACCAATTACATTTCAGGACGCTATCATCCTGCCTCACCATTTCCTCCAATATGTCCTGGAAATTACACATCCTTAATATAGTTAAAGCTGCCTCCTGAAAGTTGGGAATGCTGTACTGATGCCGTAGCTACTTCACTCCTGAGCAGTTGCTCCAAGTATATAAGGGATTCATTCGTCCTAACTTGGAGTACTGCTCTCATGTCTGGGGTGGCTCTTCTTCTCTCAAACTATTAGATAGAGTGGAATCAAAGGCATTTCGTCTTATTAACTTTCCTCCTTTGGTCATCAATCTCTCTTCCCTTTCTCTTTGCCGCAATGTTGCTTCACTCTCTCTTTTACAGGTACTTTAACAGGCAATGTTCGGTGGATTTGGCATCTTGTGTACCGCCGGCAAGGCCGTGGGCTCATAATATACGTCTAGCCCTCTTTGCCCACCGTTTCTCTGGATGTTGGTCACACGAGAATAACCCGTTATAGTACCTCCTTCTTTCCTCATACAGCCAACCTGTGGAATGCTCTGCCTTCTTCTGTGTTTCCATACTTATACAATCTGTCTCACTTTAAAAAGCTGGTTTTCCGGCATCTTTGTGGTGTAGATTAACCCAGTATAACCTTTTTCTTCTCTATCTTCAATTTTTTTTTTTTTTTTCGCCCCCCAGGCCCCGTTGTGGATCGTTTGACCTGTGTCCGGGTGGGCTAATTCCCATTAAAAAAAAAACATATACACTGGACCCCCGCTTTATGTGCATTTACTATATGCAAATTCGCATTTATGCAGCGACCTTATTTCTACCCACAATTTATTTTATGCAGTAAAGATTCCCTATTATGTGTTCTGTAGAAGATATGGCGTACTACATTAGAGCATTTTAATTTTTTTCTTCAACTTTTAGAGCATTAATACTCCAGAAATGGTTGTGAAACATGGAACAGTGTGAGTGTCTACTGCGCTGTATTTGAAGTCACGGGACGCAGCTGGAGTGGTGAGTCAGCCACTCCATACACTCACTCTCCACACAAGCACCCATGCTCTTCATATGTCTTGGTTTATAGTTTCATATTATATTTTATAGTTTTATATTATATTGTCTTTATTTCTAACCCACATTAGAGAATTGTAATGATTTTTCCACAACTTTTTTTTATCATTACTGTTGACTTTTAGTAGTTGTGGAACATTTCCTAATTTTCTCCATTAGATTAAGTATTCACTATACAGTATGGAGATTCCCATTATGCTGGGTTGTCACAGAACGCAACCATAACATAAAGCGAAGGTCAGGTGCATATACAGTAGGCCTTTCAGATTCGCAGGAGTTAGGTTTTCAAAATGGCTGTGAATCGCCAAATCCGCGAATAACATTTGCTAACAACAATGTAGGGGGGGGGGGTTACATTTTTATTTGTGTACAAAGAAATGTACAGTGGTCCCTCGGTTAACGAACACAATTCGTTCCAGAAGGTCGTTTGTTAACCGAAAATTTCGTTAATCGAAACCATTGTTTCAATGGGATTTTGGGTAATTGGTTCCACCTCACCGAAGATTCCATACAAACTAAAAATAAATGCAGTAAAGTACACTTACTTTGAGGTGTCCATGTAGAAGGCTCCTGGTTGATGATGATGATGGGAATTAGAATGGGGGTGGAGGAGAAGGGAGAAGAGAAGGCACTGGGGGTGGAAGAGAAAGCACCCCATGCTTCATGCCGTCATTTCACCCATAAAATTTTAAGTTCACTAGGTGTAATTCAAGATTATTCTCTTTAAATCAACACTACACTGCACTATATATTGTCAATATGTAAAATATATTTCAGAATGACCAATAATTGTACTGTAAAAATGTAAAAATAGTTTATGTTCAAGAGAGTCTCAAGCAAGATGCCTCCTCCACTGAGCAGGGACACACACTGACGCCATTTTGGGTGAGTCAAGTGGCTGTTTGGTGCGCTAAAAACTAGTTCCCTGTACTTCAATTATGTTAAATATTTGTTAAAATGACTAAAAACTTTAATATAAGACTTGGAAAATTATTGAATAGTACAACCTTCTTGATATTTACTCAAATGGTAACGAATTTAAGCCCTAAAACTGATTACTGTATTGGCGGACTAGTACTACAGCTGGTGAGCAGGCAAAAACATGTTGGGAAAATTTTTCAAGGAATTCATTAACCGAAGCGAAGTTTCTTATGGAAGGTAATTCTTTAACCGAAATTTCGTTGAGGCGTTCGTTAACCGAGGGACCTCTGTATTAACATTACTTTTGGGTTCAGTAGGATATAAATTTTGGTGGATTGGCCCACAAACAAACCTAAATCGTAATGCAGTCCATGAATGAGTAAAGGTTGCCCATGTCTGCCTAGCATATTTGCTTTGACATTAATACCAGTGTATTTTGATGATAAAGAATTTGCCTCACTTTCAAAGAAGCAGTTAGTGAAGACTCAACCTTTTTCCTTCTCTTTTAACATTTTTATAGGATACAGAATGGAATTACTGTACTGCTGCATAGAGAGTGTTTGAAATGATAGTATTTACTGTACTGTAATTAATAGTTTTACTCAATACCATTTTATACTTCACAGGATACTCAAATTTGAGAATAAAACAAAAACCAACACAGTGCTGGTAAAAAACGTCCACTTTGCTAATGGTGTGCAGCTGTCTCCAGATCAGGACTTTATTTTGTTCTGTGAAACCTTCAAATATCGAGTAATGAGGTATGTTTTATAATAATGTGTTTGATTATTTTATATCAGTAAATCCTCACAATTACAGATTAACATGGGGAAGCCCACTCCAAAAATGGAGATACAATATTACAAAATTATATGACACCCCTGAGAACCTGTTTTCTTTTTCTTTCCCACTTCTAACATATCCTTCTGTATTATCTGATCTAAGCTTGTACCTTGCACCTTTATCCTTAAGTCCTATTCTTCTGCCTCTGATGTGTCCTTCTCAAAATCTGTTATTGGCTCCTAAATTTGTAACTGGCCACAAGTTTTTCAATTAATCCAATTAATTTGCTATCCTCCCTGCTTCCCTCCATGTTAGTTTGCTTTGAGCACATACTCTAAATCACAATTTCATTTGGTGCTCGTGTTGTTAATGCCTAATACAATTTCCTTTGGTTCAGTGACTACCTTTTCTAACTTGGTGATTTCAGTCATTTTGTCAAATAGTTGAGCATTTTTAAAACCCCTGAATAACAGTTTCCAAAAAGGCAGTTATTTATACAGTATATTTTCATCTCCTTGTTATAACTAATTACTATACTGTACTTCCTTTGGTCTGTATGTCTCTTCCCCCAGTTTTACCACTTGTTTTCCCTCATCTGCCTTAGTTTCAATAATCATATCTTTAGACTTAATTACCTTGCAAAGAAATCACTTACTCTATGAATAATATTCCATAGCAAAATTTGTAAAAATTATGATTTGTGTTATGGGACAATGTGACCTTCCTGTTATACACAAGCAACTGAAAAGTCCTATTGGGAAGATCATAGCGCTCTGTGATGATAGAAGGTACATAAAATATAACTGTTTTTACTCTCACTGCCACCAGGCTCTTTGTGTACCCCAAAATAATTATCATTGTAACAACTACTCATTATACTGTATGTGCAAAAGAGGAGAGAGTAGATGTAAAAATTAATATTTCTTACACACACATACTGTATATTTAATCATAAACACTTGTACACATGAGCATTGGTAAAGAAAAGTATAAATAATATAAGTCATTGATATCTTAGAGGTTGGTGTGTAATGAGTAATAATTATAGATACGTGGATGAAGTCTTAGTACTCACTGACTGTTAGCCAACAGGTTTCAAACAGATATTGACTATAACAGGACAAGACTGTTGGACACCTGCATTTTATAGTGTACTGTATATGGTTCTTCTCCCAGGGCTGTGAACATGATTAACCTTCATAAGAAGGATTAACTATTATAAGATGCACAAAATATAATTTAGTGTAAGCATGGTGTTACAGCGTCTGGGGTGATGGTTGGTGCCTACACATAATCTGACACCCTGACGACTATAATGTTTATGTACAGACTCACTGGGTCAGATGTCAAATGTTTTGGCCTGACTGGAACTCTTCTCATAGGGTAACAGGTTTGCACATAATATTTACTACTCGACAATTGTGTTTCTTTACAATGGAACAAAAGAAAAATTCTTCAAGGTCTTGTTTAATGGTTTGGACAGAAGTTTTTATATCTAAATTATTTATTGTTATATGTTTAACATAAGAGCACTATCGCTTAAGCCTATTTTATGTACAGTGGTCCCTCGGTTAACGAACGCAATTCGTTCCAGAAGGTCGTTCGTTAACCGAAAATTTCTTTAACCGAAACCATTGTTTCAATGGGATTTTGGGTAATTGGTTCCAGCTCACCGAAAATTACATTCAAAGTAAAAATAAGTGCAATAAGGTACACTTACATTGAGGTGTGTATGTAGAAGGCTCCTGGTTGATGATGGTGATAATGGGAATTAGAAGTGGGGGTGGAGGAGAAGGGAGAAGAGAAGGAAGTGGGGATGGAAGAGAAAGCACCCCATGCTTCATGCCGTCATTTCACCCATAAAATTTTAAGTTCGCTAGGTGTAATTCAAGATTATTTTCTTTAAATCAACACTGCACTGCACTATATATTGTAAATATGTAAAATAAATTTCAGAATGACCAATAATTGTACTGTAAAAATGTAAAAATAGTTTATGTTCAAGAGAGCCACAAGCAAGATGTTACCTCCACAGACCAGGGATACAAACTGACGCCTTGCTGGATGAGTCAAGTGGCTGATTAGCGCACCAAAAACTAGTTTCCTGTACTGCAATTATGTTACATAAGTGTTAAAATGACTTAAAATATTAATACAAAACTTGGAAAATTATTGAATAGTACAACCTTCTTGATATTTACTCAAATGGGAACGAATTTAAGCCCTAGAACTGACTACTGTATTGACGGACTACCCCCTCGTTTAGTGTACTGGTGATGAGCAAGCTACGCCGCCTCTTGTCTTATGTTGTCATATTAGGGGTTTTCCTCGTGGAAGCCAGGCGCCTTATCAACCCTAGTGACACATTACCTGCCAAAAGCTCATTTGCATTCCTCCCCAGAATCTAAAAAAAAAAGGCCATATGGCACCCCCCCCCTTCTCCTCCCTGGACACCTGCCCCCCTGGTTGGTTGGTTGGTTGTTTGGGCTTTAGGCCTATCAACTGCCAGTGTCATTAAGGCCATCAACATCAATCTGCATTCACCAATCTTAACACCTTCAGGTGTTAAGAATAATTCTAAGACCACATACAATCTTGCTATGTATGTGAACCCTTGACTTGTGCCCTCCTACCTTACCTGGGTCTGCGATCCTTAGCTCTACCCCATTAAAACCACCACCACCCTCTTGTGACCCGTCGTGCAGAAAGGCCCTAAGCATGCGGGTATGGTAATAAGAGGGGTGGATGATACTTTGGACCATGACTGTACATGATCGAGTTAGTGGAAGCATTAAAGTTCCTATTTGCAACTTAACATGGTAAATTTTGCCTCTCTTGGGCTGCAATAGGAGAGTTTTACTTGGCTATTATTGATTGTTTTTCTTAAGTTAGCCATGAGACTCATAAACTTTACAGATACAATGCACAAGAATCTTTGTCCTGACTGAGCTTTAAAATGGGATTTCTAGAAAGACTCTTTATTTCTTATACAGTACAGTACAGTACATGATAAACTATTGCAGATATTGGTTGAAGGGAACTAAAGCTGGTCAGACGGAGGTGTTTGTAGACAGGCTGCCAGGTATTCCTGACAACATCCGCGACAAAGAAGATGGTGGATACTATGTGTCACTTGTTATTGTTCCCACTGACTCCTCTAAAAAGATTTCTGCTATTTTGGCAAGATTACCTCTTGTTCGTAAGTTTGCATTGAGACTGATGGCTGTCACACAATCACTCTTTCAATTCTTCAGCAAGATATATCCAGAGTTTGAACAAATTTCCAGTAAGGTAAGTGAAATGATTTTTACAATGGTAGGGGAATTGATAGTTTTGAGCATAAGAAATGGCAATTTCTTCTGCGCAACACCTTATTCACCATCAACACTTTAAATATCTAGCAAAGGGATGTGGGAAGATTGTACAGATCCAGGTGTTCTGGGAACAATATGGATTGTGGTTGGGGAAAGTGGGATGTGTCAAAATTAATAGAGAATTTAAAAGATAGTTATAGTTTTTCTTTCAGATTACAGTTGGCCCTTAACATACGCGGGGGTTACGTAACAGAGATACCCGTGGATGTTAAAAATCCGCGTATATGTGCTGCCCCCCCCAAAAAAAACCTGGTCCCCCCATGTCCTTATTTACCGTATATACCTGTGTGTAGTTCAAGTTTTTAAGACCAAATTATTTGGCAAAAAATTGGGGGTCGACCTCTAAACGGGTAATAGTTTCGTTAGGTTGAAAAATATTTACCAGTAACTACCAGTAAACAATGGAAACGATGCACCAACGCACCACCAGCTGTGAGTGTCGGTACAGTTGCCAGGGCAGATCTCTTGCGTCATCATAGCAAGCCCAAAGTAGCCAAATCCATGGTATGGTAGCACAGGACGATGTAAAACATAAAGTATTCATTTATTAAAGTTTATTTATAGATACTGTACATAAATTTTTGTTCATTACATTTGAAACATCAATCTTTGTTAATTAAATTTTGAACAAAAGAAAACTACGATACCGTATTTTCATTAAAATATTACATCACAAGTACAGGTAGTTCTGCTATAACGCGATAATTGTGTTCTTGTAAAATATCGTGTTATAGAAAATCGCGTAATAGAAATAACAGCTTATGGAGAAAATAGGGTTAGGTGCAGATTACTCGAAGTCGAAAAAATTTAGTAGTTAGCCTAACACAAAGGATAGCACAGTCTAAATAAATGTTACATTCATATCTAATAATGAAATCATACAGTAAATGTAACACTTTACTTGATGGGGGAGAAGGGTGATTTTGAGGTTGATAAAATCGAGCTTCTCTTCAAGTGTTATATCCTTTCTTTTACGCTCATCACTGGGAATTCTATCACCAGAACGCTTCTTGTTGATATTCTTCTTTACTATATTCACAGTTAATACTGTACCACAATATTGGAGAAATAGTAAGCAAAAATCGCTTTATAGCAAACAAGCGTTCGCGTTATACAAATATCGTTCCTAATTCATAAATCGCGTTAGAGCAAATTCGCGTTATCAAAACACGCGTTATAGCAGAACTCACTGTATATTTTACCTTAACTGTGACTGAATGAATATAGGTATTCTCAGAAATAAATATGGAAATATAATATTTTTGCTGGAATGACGTACATATTACAGTGGAAAGTGGGATAAAATCATGAAAACAATGACTTTCGCTTTCTTTCGTTATTCAAAAGATTTTACCGTAATTGCTTTTCGAATGGTTTTCAGTTAAAAAACTGTTGTACTCGTACTGTATTACAATAATATTCTATCCTATCATTAGCCTTATAATCCCACAACTGAAAACCATTCGAAAAGCGATTACGGTAACATCTTTTGAACGAAAGAAAGAGAAAGTCATTGCTTTCGTCACAATTTTATCCCACTTTCCACTGTAATACGTACATCATTTCAGCAAAAATATTACATTTCCATCTTCTCAGAAATAAATGGTAGTTTTGTTGAAACGTAATGTACAATATTTAATATTAAAATGCAAAAATAGCTATAAAAACAATTAATACACTCGTAATGTACTGGCTGGCATCTCCACTCGTCCCTGCTCCTGCGTCCAAGGTCACCACTCCTCCCAACTCGCTCCCTCCGCTCCCTCCTCCACCTCCTCTGCCTCCTCCACCCCCTCTGCCTCCTCCACCTCCTCACCGTCACTACTGCCGACAACGAACACAAATGTTTTGTGAATAACTGCACCTCCACTTCCTATGTACAGTACTGAACTGTACTGTGCTGTGCATTTTTACAAATAATAAACATGGCAAGAAAAGCTATTAAAAAAAAAGAGATAAAAATTTCACTTTACTGTACAGTACCTATCCTCGGCGACAGGACGGGGGTCATCGAGCTCATCGTCACTCAATTCCATAACGGGTGGTGAAGTGGGGGCGACGGTGGATTCAGCTGCTTCCTCACTGCCGCCAGTGATTGATGGTGTTAAATCTCTCCTTCGGTGATCAAAGAACATGGTGATGGGGAGTTGTAGTCTCTTTCTTTCATTTCTTCCATGATGTTTTTGTATGGAGCGAAAACGTCATCCATCCCTCGCATGAATTTCAGGGCACGCACCATGGAGGGGTCCATACTATAGGCCAGGTTTTTCAGTGCCTCAATATTCCTGGTCATCTCCCCCAACTTCTCCAACGTTATTTCTTGGTGCTCTTCCTCATCCTATTTCCCTTTTGCTTCCTCTTCCTTGCCTGAGTCTAATAACTCCTGTAGATCCTCCTCGGTCAACTCAGTGTCGTGCTCTTCAATTAGCTCCCTAATCTCGTCCTCTGCCATGTCCTGGAAGCCTTCAGCAGCCACTTTCCTTGACAGTGCCAGGGTCTTTCTGAATATTTTCATTAAAATCCATCAAAATCATTTTCCTTGTCATCGTCTTAAGCACCAAACAGCTCCTCCCAGTCTTCTCCTTGAACAGGGCTAGAGGGTACGTGTTTTTCGAATGGTTTTCAATTAAAAAAATGTTACAGCACATGTATATTTTACCTAAACTGTGCCTGAATGAATATATTCTCAGAAATAAATAGTAGTTTTGCTGAAACATGATGTATTTCAATGTAAAATAGGATAAAATACATGACGAAAACAAAAGACTTTACCTAACCTTCAAATGTTCAAGAGATGTTACTCGTTTTTTTAACAGGTTTCGGTTAAAATACTGTTATATTACAATGATATTGTATTCATACTGTGCTGATATACTACATTCTCGGAAATGTAATATTTTTGCTGAAATGACGTAAATATTACAGTGGAAAGTGACAAAAGCAATGAATCGCTTTCTTTCGTTCAAAAGATGTTACCGTAATCGCTTTTCGAATGGTTTTCAGTTAAAAAAACTGTTGCATCAAAAGTGAATTAGGATAGAATATTATTGTAATACAACAGTTTTTTAACTGAAAACCATTCGAAAAGCGATTATGGTAACATCTTTTGAACGAAAGAAAGCGAGTCATTGCTTTCGTCACTTTCCACTGTAATATGTACGTCATTTCAGCAAAATATTACATTTCCATATTCTCAGAAATAAATAGTAGTTTTGCTGAAACGTAATGCATTTCAATGTAAATTAGGATAAACTCCATGAAAACAAAAGACTTTACCTAACCTTCCGATGTTCAAGATATGTTACTCGTTTTTTTAGTAGTTTTCGGTTAAAATACTCTTATATTAGTGATATTCTATTCATACTGTGCTTGATATAATACATTCACGGAAATGTAATATTTTTGCAACTACAATGCTGATGTCAACACAAGCGTGGTTACAGCGAGACTGACTGAGTGAGGGAGAGCTATGCGTGTGTGTGTGAGGTTGCGGGAGCGGGCGGTGTCCCGTGTGAGGTGCCGCGCGCGATTTGAATGTACTTCAATGTACAGAATATTCCTCCGGCGGGGCAATCCGCATATTTGCAAATCCGTGTATTATAAACCCGCGAATGTTAAGGGCCGACTGTACACCTTTACCTTTTTTAAAAGTTAATATTTTGTGTGTATTGAAGAGTTAGGTTTGGCTGTGTTTGCAAACTTGTTTGTTTGTTACTGATATTATGCAAATATATCCTGGACAAAGCTATCAGGCCTGTGTATCCAGATTTAAATACATTTTCTGGACAATGATTGGTACTGAATCAGGTGGCAAGTGGTGCTACTTTAGTATAAATCTTTAGGACTCTTGATTTTACACATCTTAAACATCCCCACGTTTTTCTGCTCATATCGACACTTGTGGTGTATGATCATAAGTAGTTTATGTGATAAATTTTATAATTATTTCTATTACTCCTGTACATAATTTAAAATCATGTTTGATATACAGTAGGCCCTTAAAATTCCCGGGAGTTAGGTTCTCAAAATAGCCGCGAATAGTCAAATCCACGAATAGCATTTGCTGACGGGGGGGGGGGGATAAAATTTACTTGTGTGTTAAGAAATATATATAGCAGAAGTCCAAAAATCTGGACTGCTTGGGGATTGGGTCTTTTCGGATTTTCCGGATTCTCAGGCAGTACTTTTAAAATTCAAATTTAAGGAAGAATACAGAAGAGATGAACAGGTACATTTTAATAGTTTATTCATTAGCAAATATAGCATGCTTCATTTATCAAAATGAGCAGTTTTGAAGAAGAAGCCGTGAATTCTAGAATTTTATTTTTTGCCTTTTTTATATCATAAATTGTAGACTTTCCAATGTCGTATGTTTCCATTAGAACAGTATTAATCACACCACGTTCTAGTTTCTTAATTATTTCAAGTTTTCACTCAGTTTCAACGTGTTCTTCTTTCTCTTCACACAACGAAGTTTATCTACTTTAGGAGCCATTATTATGGGCTTGTACAGTACTCTGTAAATGGAAAGAGTAGGACTCAAAATTACATATGTTGTCATAGTTTGATTGCTTGTTTTAAAGTGGTGACTGCGTGGTCGCTTGTTGTCGTTGTGCAGCTGTGGCGCTCACGCATGCGCACATGCACACAAAAACCCACTAAATTTAAAAAAATAAAAAGGAAATTACTGTCTCTGGAATGAATGGCTCCCTGTCCCACCCGCGAAAATACCAGCAACTTTAAAATTACCCGCAGACATTCTTGGGTACATCCAGGGTGTTATCCGTGAATAATCGAGGTCCGTTAATAGTCAGGGCACAGAATTTGTCTTACGAATAAAGAGAAAACTGTAAACTGTACAGTACTATAAAGATAAAAATAAGAACAAATAAGTGTAGGAGTATATTGTATGTGGAAGACGAGTGTTTATCTGGGAGCAGCTGGCAGAGGGGTGGGGGTAGCAAGGATCATTTGGTGCCAGGTTGATAAAATATTATCCTAAAAGAATCGGCTCTCCTGAAAAAAGAATCCCACACTGAACATGAGCCCTTTCATACTCATTTATTTACATAGAGCAAACAGCTGATCTGCTTACCACAATGTCTGTTTTCAACACTCAGTAAATTAGTACAGTACAGTTGTGCATTTATCACCACTTAATAAATACTATTGTAGTGTTAAAGTAAAAAAGTAAAAGTATCTGCTTATACCCTGGTTTATTCATTAATCATTTGTTAAGTCTACAAGTAGCCAAACTGAGTCATTATATAACACTCAAAGTTAGTAAATAACGTTTTTAGTGAGGTATCTTCATATCAAATACTATGCATTGTGTTATTGTGACCCCTGTTGTAAGCTGGTCTGCTGAAGATCACACACAAATGCATCTTCAGTAAATAACCTTCTGATACAGCTTATCCTTTTATTTTCAAGTCATATTACGAATTACATACAGTATTGTATTTTTTCTGTATTACTGAAGATTTTATATTAATCTTGTTGAACCGTAAACCATAAGAGGCCAATCATATGAGAAGATAATACTGAATCAATAAATAAATAAACCTGACAAAAATGGCAACACCTGATCAGCCCCAGCCTGCTTATGCATACTCAACAGTCTTACCCGGTAGTTCTCAGTAGGCCTATAGCAAATCTAATCAGACCACTGTACAGTATTCAGTAATTGTTGTTAATTTCATAAGATTTTTTTATTTCATCTTCACCATTTCTTAAACCTCTTTTTTATTGGGTATTTCTGGTGACCAGAGCATCTCAGAGTCCCAAAAAAAAAGGAATTCCAAAATATTGAAGTCTGATTTATCGGAGTTTTACTGTAATTAAAAGTGGTCATGGCTATTTTTAGTTCAAAATCATAATTTCATGCTGGTAATATAAGATCACAAAACTGATAGCTCCTCTTGCCATTCATGTCACTAATGAAGTAATAATGTATTATATACTGGCACATCATAAAATTTTATTCAGTGTACATATATTTAGGTTATGCTTTTCATGTCTCTAATATAGCAGTAACAACTTTAAAGTTTTATTTTACTTCAGGTGTTCCACTTAGAGCCACTGACTGGACCTGAACTAGTAGCAAATTTTTCCATAGTGGTTGAGCTTGACGCAGATGGAAACATTATAAATTCACTCCAAGGAAATTCACACAAACTAGGACTTATATCACAGACAACGAAGGTTGGTGACTATCTCTTTTTTGGTTCTCCTTATAAAAAATATCTTGGGCGTTTGTTTGTAGGACCTCCTCCTGTTATTGAAGTTGATGGGAAAGGTGTAAAAATTAAGACAGAAAATGACACCGACAAAAATGAAGCAGAAGGTCTTGAGCCAGGTGTGCTTAAAAATGAAGAAGATGAGCCTCAAGTAGTTGAAAATTTTAATAAGAAAACTGTAGAGGAAGCACAAGAAGGTCAAGTTGAAGAGTTTGTAGGAGTAAAAGTTGAGGAGAATATACCAGAAGAAGATGAAAAACTTGTGAAAGAAAAGGTAACTGTAGAACACACTGAAGCATTGGAAACGGAGTCTCACAAAGAAACTAAAGATGAGAAAGAACAGGAACCATTGCAGCAAAATACAGAATGGAGTGATGTACCTGAGGAAGACATAGAGGTAAAAACCAAGGAAAACCAGAAAGATGATAGAGATTTAAAAAAAGAAGTTGGGAAAGAGGAACTTTAAAATTAATCATAATAGTACTGTACAGGTAGTCCCCACTAAATGCACTTCCACTATACAGGATATGTATTTATATATATAAGAAATTCATAAATTAGTGACCACTTTTCACTCAGTGCTGTGCCTTTTCACTTTTCCTATTGTGAAAATTTAAAGTCATACCCAAGTTGCTTTAGACCACACCATACCACTACAACCATAGGAAAATTAATGTCCCCCCCCCCCTCCCAGGTGAGGGAATCTTGACAATCAAAGTTTGAGTGACAAGGACCAATAGAATGGCCACTGAGGTCTCTGGGTCTCACACCTATTGATTTCTTCCTCTGGTCACTTAAAATCTGCCATCTACAAAGATCATCCAAGAACAGTTTAGGTGACTGCAGAGAAAGAAGTTGAGGGGGAGTGAGGTTGAGAGATCTCAATGGCATTCCATTGGTCTTCATTGATTTGATGATTCCTTAACCTCAATGGTAAAAAAACAAAACAATAATTTTCCTTTATGAGACAAGAAGTTTCCAAGAGTAGTTAACATAGAGAAAGATATTTAAGAGTCTCCTATTGTATATACGTACAGCATACGTATAAATTAAGGGAAATTCCTTTTTTACTTCATACAGTACAGTATGTCAAACCAACAATCAGTTCAGACATAACAGTTGAAAACTGGGTACAGTACTTCATTTTATACTGAAAGGTAACCAAAATTCTTTTCAAAATCTGTAAGCAAATGTGATTGGTCATTCATAAAATATGCCCCTAAATAGTATTAGTAGGAAGTTGCACTTTGATCTACAAATTTTTAATTTACAAAAAGATTTTCAGGAACAGAACCCTTTTGTAAATTGGGTTTTAACTGTATCAATTTACTATTGTACAATACTGCCTGTGTGTAATTATGACTTCATTTTATTATATATACAGTCAGTCCTTGACTTACAACGGGGTAAGGGACCGACGACCAGGTCGTAAGTCGAATTGGTCGTAAGTCGAAAATGCTTAAATAATACAAAAAAATAAACTTATTTTTTGTAAAAAAACTAAAAAAAAATTATTGAAATGGCTTTATCCTCATTTTGCACATCTGTTGGTTAACTTGTTTTTGTTTAAAAATTGGAAACAGTCTGTCTTTTCATTTTGATTACAAATTATTAGGGTACAGTATTTTCTTAAAGAATAATTCATGTATTTACTATTTTAGATGCTAGAAATGGCAAACAACAAAATTAATACCCCTGTGCTGCCTGTCTCGGTACAAATTCACATCAACAACACGATCACTTTGACCCGAGTTCAACACTAGTGATACGCACTGATGCACGCAGTCTAGAAGACTGCTCTGTCCAAGACAGATCTAATAAGTCACTAGATTTCAATCGTTAACATATGTAAGTTCATTTAATGGTATTTTGTTGATAGAAAGCATTCAAGATATAGCATTAGTACAATAAATAGGGTATAAACAATGTTGATTAATGTAAAAAAAAATGCTAAAATAGGTAGTGATCAGATCAGATGCAACAAATTTGATTAATTGGCAACAGTGCAATCTATGGACTATCTGAGCAGTTGCCATTTGCTATAATTTTAAATAAGTTAGTGATTATAATTTCAGTGTTTTAAGCAAAACGTGATTGATCATTATTATATTGATCTCAAATTCTGATTCGATGGCAATGATATATATTTGGTGAACCAGTCAGTGGGTGAGGAAGAGGCGGCGAACGAAGTAAACCTCATGAGCGAATAGTTCTGGAATGCACTGAGGAATTGTGCTATAGAAGCTAAATGCAAGAAATAATAATGCCATACTTCAGTGGTTGTATTTAAAATGTAAGATTCTTGTGGAACAGAAAACCATTTGGTTATTGTCTAAACTTGCTCTAATTTGTGTGACACTTAGTAGGTAATAGTAAGGAATATAAGGGCTTGTTTGCAAATTTAGAGGTAAATCTATACTGACAAAATATTGTTTTTTAAATCGACAAACGGTTCAGTGATCCATTCAAATTTTAGCAACTGGTTTGGGCAAATCAGTCCCAGCACACCTGTCTGTACATTATAGGACTTTTGGTATTTGACTCAAGGGTCACTTCTCCAAACTCCCTATTTTCCATATGACCAAGCCTTCGTCAACCATGGGAGAATTCTAAAACATAACCTATGATTGGTGAGGAATTATTATATGTTCTGTTTATTTTTATTCTTTTTCCGGAAAGGTTGTGGTCCTGTGGACCTTTTCATTTTTTTTAATTAAAATTCTTGTACAGTATAGTCTCGATTTATGCGGATTTGGTTTACGCATTTGGTCATTTACGCGGCACCTTGCCAGACCAACAATTTTTATTTACACGGTTCATTCCATCATTTACGTGGGCAGGGTGTGCACAAGATCGCCCAGTCAACAAAACATTACCGAGTTCTTCACCCGCCACCCACCACAGCCGGCCCAAGTCAGCGATAGTGAGGATATGGACTTTGAGGGGTTTGACAAAGAGGCCCTGCAAGCCTCTGTGGTGGATAGTGATACAATTGATAAAAGTGATACAGGTGAGGGCCAATAATCTGCCCTCTGCCTTGGAACCAACCCCTCATCCCCGTGTGCCCAGCCATCTTTTCTACTAACGTAAGTGTTAAAAAACCTAATATTATTGATATTTCTCTTAAATATTAATTGTGTGCATACCATCATAAAATTAAGATGTTATTTTTACTACAACGTACGTATTGTGTCAGAAAAAGTGTAATTTGGGGGTCGACCCAGTCTCTCTTTCAATTAATCCCATATGTTGTTATTTCGTTTTCGCGTTTCTCGTTTTACGCAAACCTCCACGGATTCAATTGACCGCGTAAATGAAGACTATACTGTATATAATTATGGTAATGCTCTGTAAATAAAGACAAACATACATGTATTAACTACATAGGTGATTACAAAGAACTATACTGTTTGATGTATACAGGAGGTCCCCAATACGCACGCCGATACGAACACAGTTAAACTTGAAATTTACAGTACAATATTTTATTTACCTTATGACTTATTTTTTACTTTCATTTACTGTATTTTGTCATTTTATTTCTTCTTTTGTCTTAAATTAAGTGATTTTAGATGTATATAAGGACTTAGGTTATGATATAGTGGAATTTTAAACATTGTTTTATATGTATATGGGATGAATATAGCATGTGTTCTGACTTATGAATGTCCTCAGGAATGGAATCTGTTCACAACCTGGGGACCCCCTGTATAGTAAATTATCTTACTTCATTGTTCTAAATTGTTAGAAATTTGTCAAAATACCTAATGGTGGTGGTTTGTCTCAAATCTTGACACAATTCTCCTCCACTTGGGATGGAACAAGTACACTAAAGTTTCTTTAGCCATGAAGAGCAATAAAATGAGACAAAATATTCAGTAATATATGGAAGACTAGAAAAAATAATTGAATGTCCCCAAAATCATGCTTCAAGTGGTTCATACTATGTTCAGTGTACAATTGTCTCATTAAAATTACAAGCCTGAAAGCCACATTCATGTAAACTAATAAAACATTGCTGTATAGTGTCTGCTTGGCTGTTATTATATTTCTTTTATTTTATTGTGGAATAAAACAAACCATGGGAAAATGCTGTTTTAATATCCTGGTTCTAATAACAAACTTGGGCAGGAATGACTTCTGTAATTGAGGAACTTTTCCTGACCCCTTCTTTATAGCAAACTGAAATAGTGATACATGTATATACCACACCAACAATACTACACGTTTGTTTTACAGTAAAGAAGAGATTAAGAGGTTCTGATTCATAACTTTTGTATAATTTCTTATATGAAAGAAAAAATAACTGCATATCATTTCTACTGGCAACCAGATTACTACATATGTTGAGTACTTGGAATTTCAGTCATATGGACAGCCTTATCAGGTCAGCTAGTTGAGCAGTAAAACTTTGTGACACCATTTAATTCATACAGTAGGCATTTAATACTGTATTATTTCCACAAAGTAAGGCTGTTATTAACACCATGAAAGTTCACACTGCTTCATTTATTCTTAAGACTCTCTATTTGGTTGTGACAAACAAAATTTTCTATGAACACTTAAAATCAGTTGTAATATAACTTCCAGATTAATAATACAGTACCTTAAGCATATTCAGCATGCTCCAAGAGATGAAACATTAACTTGTAACATTCAATCACATTCTATTAAGAAAACTTTACATATACAGTACAAAAAAAATTTGCACCATAAATAAACCCATCACAGACAATTTTCCTCTTTTTATGAAAATACTGCTGTAAATAGCCCCCTTATTATCACTAAAGTAAACATGAAAAGCAATTCGTAACTGAATTTTTTAAAAACGCCCAAATCGGCCTTCTCGTTGTTCTTTATCTTGAGAATTTGAACGGAATCTTTCCAGTGATGCCGAATTCTCTCTGAATTCCCGTCTATGCTCCTTGGATCTAGAACGAGAACGTGATGACCTTCGACTCCTTGATGGAGACCTACGACGGCGGTTCCTGGCTGGTGATCTGTTGAAAATATTTACTTATTCCTTTGCATTATGTTCACTTGTATATAAAAGTAATTTTTGAGAGAGAACTTTATTTTGTCAATCCCATTCTGTATGCCTTCACGCACTTCTCTTAAATCAGGTGCAATATCCCCAATTATGAGCATCTGTATACTGTATTGCACATTCATAAATATGAATGTGCAATTATATAATTACCATTTTCCATGCTTGTAATGGAATGGTGTCCTGCTTGGCATTAAGCCTTCTATTTTTTTACAAACTAAATAAATCACCTGAAGATGGCATATTACCCAAACACCGACTTATTAGACAACGGGCCATAATCCTGCAAACGAATCCTTTCAGCAGAACTGTCAGCAAATGTACATAATAATCCAGGTACAGTATCTCAAACAAGTATCTGTTCACTCACACGGATGATAGATATTGTGATAAGAGCATTCCTGCCCTGCATACCAACCCTCCGGGACATCACAAGTTGCAAGTAGCATTTCGGAAGTCATCGGACCTATCCTGCAGATACTTTTTTTGAGATACTGTACACCTCTTGTACCAGATTTTCTGAAAGTCTATTGAATACAGTACTGATGGATGAATTGATTTGAAAACTGATTACAGATATACCAAAATAGAACTGACACTATATTATTGCTCAACTGAGACAATACATAAGACATGAGTATAATAAGACATTTGAGTGGAAAATTGGTCCTCAAAGGAAAACCAAGTAAATTTATATGGCCTATAGATGTCATAACAATTAAAACTTGCAGATTAAATGAAAAGGACATTAAAGCTACATACCAACAAGGAACATTTTAAAACCCTCTGTAATGGCATTTTGATTTAATGACCTAAACCCAGCAAATGTATGAAAAGGACAAACATGATCACTACAGCTACCCCAAACACCTGGCAACTTTTTAAGTTTTCACAGAATGACAGGTTATCAGAAAATCAAATTTGACATTTGTTTAACAGCAGTCTACCATACAATAATGGCCATGTTATTTCCAAATACTGCACCATATATCTAGGCATTAATATGAAGGCCATCTAATACCATCAATAATTGAATTCATGGCTATATGGTACTTACCTTTTCCTTTTGCGCCCATAAAGTTCTCTACGTAGCTCCCTGGATATTGGTTTGAGGTGCATAAAGTTGCAAAATCCACTGCGGGTACATTCTCTATAAAAAATAATAAGAAATAATCACGAGCAAAAAACTATGAAGAAATTAATTCATCTGAAATGCATTCAACATAGTAAAGTAAATATTAAATTATCTACCAGTACTGTGAATGTAAGCATTTTTAGTACCAGTGACCTCTTGACATACTGGTACACTCTGAAAGTGAACAGTTTAAAACTTCCTTTTTCATATACAATTGAGAAAGTTTAGACAATATCCATTAAACCTGTCTTAAGAAACCTTTGACACAAATATACTGATAACAAGTGACCTCTTGACCTCAAAACTAAGTCGAGATCTTCAAAGTAGAATCCGGTATAGAAGTGCATGCAAACCTGTTATATATGACCAGTCAATATAAACTCATCTATTTTGTAAATGCAGTACAACCTTGGAATCCAAAAATGTTGAAACTGAAAATGCACCAGTTAAGGGATAACTTTAATACATACCGATACTTAAATCCCTTGACCCTAGAGCCTTAAGTGTCTACTTTTGTTAAAACATCTTGATTCATTCTTTTTCTATCTTTAAAAATGATGCTCACTTGACCACTTAAAATGTACTGTATACAAAACTGAAAAACCTCCGTACTATATAGGTGCTCCTCTAATTACGAACGAGTTGCGTTCCTGAGACTTGTTTGTAAGTCCAACTTTACTCTTGTAGATACCAAACATATTGTAAAAAAATGAAAAGATTATGGATATTTAGTACAGCTATACCCTTTAATACAGCCTTAAAACCTGGCTCACTCTTCTCCTCTTAGGTAATATTTGTTCTATCTGGAACTTTCTCAAAATAATCCAGTCTCATCCACATTAAACACCTGTTCTGGCAGGTAACCCTCCTCAGTGATGATGTTTGTATCTCTGAAAGTTTGTAAGTTAAACGTTCTTAAGTAGAGGAGCACCTGTACTCCTAAAATTAACAGACATTCAAATAAGTTCCTAATGGCAGTTGCAGACTACAGAACGGTTATCTCATTTATTTGCAAATAATAAATATTAATAAAAGCATCAAACGAGACATACCCCATTTCATACTGCCGACAACAGGCCTCTCGGAAATCTGTCACAGGGCTCAGTTCAGCATTAATAGCACGACCTCCAAACCATCGATTGTTCAAGTCAACTACTGCCTTCTCTGCATCCTCTTCATACTTAAACTGAAGAGACAAAAACAATTAAAAATAATAATAATAATAATAATAATAGGTACTGAAATCGCATTTTATAGCCAAGCTTGGATTGGGCAATTCACATGTTGCCAACTGAAATACATGGTTTGAAAACCCAGGTTCCCTCAGCATTTGTGACTGGAACTTATCAATTACTTAAGTCATCAGCTTCCTGTCATAACTGAAGTAAAAAAAATCATTGGATATAAGGTTACCACTCAGGCAGAGGAATCATGCTGTCACATTACCATATGCACTCCATGACCTTCATATGGCTTAGTCACAAACTGCCATTTCCTAGTCTCACATTAATTTTCAGTACATCTCATCAAAGGACTACTCATCACGAGAAAGGAGAGTAATTGAATTGCTTGATCGTGGATTAGTTGTACTTATATACAGGGTAATGGGATTTCAGAATCAACCTCTCACTGATAATCTAACAAGGAGGAAGAAACCAAAGTAAGCAGTCATTGAATCAAAGAAGCAGCAGCTTCCTTAACTCTGTTAGATATGTTATTGTGTTGTACATATCACAAGAGAGTTTACAGTTGCTTAATGAACTACTTTAAGGTTAGCCATCCGGCTGGTACATGACCATACAACCACGTACTATATCGAAACTCCTTGATTTCATGAATCAGAGCTCAGCCTGTAGTATTAAGAGGTAAACAGATGAAAAGTTACATCTAACTCCTGTCAGGAGACATAAGACAACCAGGGAAGTCATCACTTGGTCTCACCTGCTGGCTGGATATGACAGTTTTTCCTAAGCTGCCTGATGGTCAAGGAACACATGCACTAGTGTGACTTTCTTTTAAGCCTCTAGACACAATGGGGAAGTAATAAACTAATTACCTGCTCAGTTCAGCAACCAATGACAAAGGTTTCTGAATTTTCCAAAAGTAAACTTTGGTTGACAATAACATAAAGAGTTGCCAGAACCAGACATCAGGTTACATAACAATTAATACTCTGAAGTTGGGAATCACAATAATTATCCAATAAACCTTTTACCTACCATGAACAAATGCATGATCTCATTTTGGCAATACAATGTGTTTATAAGTCCCTAGAAATTTTTTCTTGTTCATTTTCAACTTTTTCGACCCATCTACATTTTCAAAATATATCAGATGTACAATTTCGAAAATATCTAACCTTTATGTAAACATTGCCCACCAGGTGGTCACCAAGGTTATCACAAACATTCATTTCTTCAATTTCTCCATAGCGGTCCTCGCACTCTACAAATACCTCCTCAAAAAAGTTGTCGTAGTGCTCTTGCATCTCTTCATCACTAACTGTGGCTGAAATGATCAGTTCATAAATAGCTTATCATCCTGAATGCTTTAAATAATATTTGGTAATAACTTACCATTCTTGACACCCAAACTAGATATTTTAGTGAATTTACATTGAATAATTTTTTTTTTTTTTTTTACCTCTAAAAGAGCCTATAACCACCCAAGGAATTGTGATTTATATACTGTACAGTACAGTACAGTAATGTATTTTGGTTTATCCTTGGTTTTCTTCCTGGGAATATCCAAGTTGACATCTTTCACGACAAGCAAATGAACCTAACCTCAGCTAACTATACGAAAAATTATTCTAAGATCATCAGGTTAGGTTAGATTAGCTCATACTGAAGAACTGAACAGCTAGTTATATATTTTTTAATTTGTATTATGTATTTAGTTCACATATTATTAAAAATATATATTAAAATTACAGTAAAGCATGCCCTTAAAATTTGCGGATTTTTAATTCACGGACCTCAATTATTTGCGGATGACACCCTGGGTGTACCCAAGAATTTCTAAGGGTAGTTTTAAAGTTGCTGGCATTTTCGCAGCTGGGACAGAGAGCCATTCGTTCTTGAGACAGTAATTTCCTTTACCTGTTTTGTATACCCGGTATATGTGTGTGTGTGTGTGTGTGTGTGTGTGTGTGTGTGTGTGTCTACACACACACACCAATAAATAATAATGGGAAAATCCTCTCACAAATAATCAAAAACAAATGCATTAAAAATGTGACAGTGTACCATGAAGTCAATTCCGTGCTTTGTTATTAATAAAGCACGAAGTTGACTTGAGGGTAGACTCACATTTTCAATACATTTGTTTCCGATTGTATATACTGTATGTATGTGTGTATACAGACACACACACACAAAACACATACAGATAAATAATAATGGGAAATTTCTCTCACAAATAATCAGAAACAAATTTATTAAAAATGTTGAGTCTACTCCATTCTTTATTAATAAAGCACAGAGTGGACTTGAGGGTAGACTCTCACATTTTCAATACATTTGTTTCTGATTACTGTATTTGTGAGAGGATTTTCCCATTATTATTTATTTGTATATGTTTTGTGTGTGTGTACATGTCTACACACACAAAACATATACACAATACAGGTAAAAAAAATAATTGTCCTCAGGGCATACACATAAAGGGAATATACATTTCTTTGTACACAAGTGAAAATGTAGACCCCCGTCAGCAAATGTTATTCGAGGCCATTTTGAGATGTAACTCCTACGAATTTGAAGGGCATACTATACTTGAACTATACCAATGCCTACAAACTTTTATGTCAATTACTAAATATTGAGAAATATCTTATCGCTGGCAACTATTTGGACAAAAACAAACAAAATGGAGGCAGATGAATGTCTGATCTCCAGGAAGAAGAGAAATAATGTGAGTCACAACTCCTGGGGTGGATTTGGGCATTTCTTGAGGTTAAATATAGTGGGTTTTTTCCTTGTGCAAAGGTGACTATAAAAACTAGTATAGATATCCAAGAATAAAAAAGTATTACCTTATATAATTTCATTCTTCTAAATTTATTAGGCCTATTAACATAATGAAAAGAGGTGTGTGCAGAATTTTTCAAAACCATTTAAACCACTCGCACATCAAAACAGCATTTACACAACACCAAACCATGAAGATCACTGCATTTTTTCTTCAAGAATTCTGCATGTTGATTTGCTCATTAGATATAGAATGTGAATTTGCTACTTGCTTGATTAAAAATAAAAGGGGGAGGGATACAGTAGTCACTAGATTAGCCAGTAGTGTATATCAAGTTTTGTTACCCGAGGATGCGTACAAAGAAGCCTCTATTTTATTTCTCTAATCATAATTTTTTATTTAAATAATTGTAATAACAAACTTGGAAAATATGGATGCAAATTGGTATGGCTTCTTCCATATGTAAATCGAATGATGGGTGCCATACATAACATATAGGCAGACTTGTAAAAAGCACTGGGCTTTTTTTTACTTAAGTATAAGTATTGTTACATTGGCAAAATGTTCCTCAAGTAGAAGTAAAAGTATCCAAATATCAATGTACTCAAGTAGAAGCAAAAAAGTATCTCATTCTTTAAATACTCAAGTACTGAAAATAAAAAGTAACAAAAAATTATTTGTCTCAAATATTAAAATAAATACCACAGAAAATTATGAAAAAAAAAAAGTTCACGAAAGGACACTAGAATTTCACATGTTTGTTTACAAATCTTTCTATTAAGATTAATCATCAACGGATTCTCAAAATTATGACTGTCCAATCAGGATCTTTTAGTCCTAAATACAAGCCCAACATGACCTACCGAAAGAGAATACATTCAGCTGCTCTTCTCCATACAATCCCTTGCAGGGATAGTGAACGTGCTGAAAATATATCCATCCAATACTATGATCACTGTTTTCCTTATCCACACAAGTATTGTCGACATGGACTTAAGTCTGTACACATAATATTGTCTCGGCTCGCATTAGGTTAGGATACAGACCCATCTGGCATATATCTGAGGTGAGGGATGATCAGCACTTTTCTTTCTGTAAACTCTGTAACTGTCCCAACACTAACACCCTTCAACACGACTGTATTGCCTTGACTTCCTACCACAGGGAGAGTCACTAACCACTATATGTCACCACCTACTTAATCGTAATAATTTAGATTAAATTTTTGTATGCTACCCATGCTTTGGTGGGTTCTAACTCCCACTGTCCTTAAATCACATCAATAATGTCTCCTTATCACAATGCATAGCGTGTCCTGCGATACACGAGTACCAATGTATTATAAGTGTCTGACAGTGTGGTCTTGTGACTAGGCTTGTCACCCCCTGGGGTGTAAAAATTAATTAAATAATAAATAGTAAGCCCAGCATGACTAAACAGATGCTCACAAGCAGCAGATGCAGGAAATGGGGTGCTAAGCTTCAAAGATAAGTCACATAATGTCGGGAAAGACAGCAGTAGCTCCATTCCATTCCCTGGGCATTCCAAGTAGCTATCAAGCTCCTTCAGTTGAGGAGTTTGTGGATGATTGTTGCCTCCATAGTGAGTCTGACAGACTCTGTGAACTGTCCCTCTAATTGGGGGTGTGGCTGTCCAGGGCTCAAGTTTTCAGGTGGCACAAGCACTTCAAAGAAGGGTGCACCTCCTTTGAAAATGAGCATCATTCTGGGTGGCCTTCCACCGATAGAAATGGTGAAAATATCCAGAATAATAACAAGCTTTCCATGAAGATCGACGAGTGACTATCCATGAGATTGCCGAGCGATTGGACCTCTCATATGTAAATTTTAACTAGATTCTGACTGACTACCGGCAATTGGCAGCTTTACCAGGACAACGCACTTGCGTGCACACTGCCCTCTCCATGAACGATTTTCTGGCAAAGCATGGCATCCCAGTGGTCCAGATTGAGCCCCCTGTGACTTCTGGCTGTTTCCAAAGTTCAGGTTGAATCTCAAGGGGAAGAAGTTCATGGACAGACTGGAGATCCAGGACACATCACGGAAGGTGCTCTCCAGCCTCACCAATGAGGACTTACAGATCTGCTTCCAGAAGTGGGAGGATCAGATTCAGCGCTGCATTGAGGCCTCTGGAGAATATTTTAATGGCGACCTAAGGATTTCCATTATTATTTATTTGTACAGCGCACGCACACACACACACATACAGTATATACAATACAATACTGTACATACAGGTATCCTATACAATCAGAAAGAAATGTATTTAAAATATTGAGTCAACCCATAGGATCACTCGTTGCTTTGTTATAATAAAACTTGAGGATAGACTCAACATTTTTAATTATACACTTGTTTCTAATTATTTGTGAGAGGATTTTCCCATTATTATTTATTTGTATGTGTTTTGTGTGTAGTGTCCACCACACACCATATATACAATACAGGTAAAGAAAATTACTGTCTCTAGAACGAATGGCTCCCTGTCCCGGCCGTGAAAATGCCGGCAACTTTAAACTTACCGGCAGACATTCATGGGTACATCCAGGGTGCCATCCACAAACAATAGAGGACCGCGAAATTAAAATTCGCAAATTATCCAGGTGTACTGTAAATAAATAAATGATTATCATAAGGCCAAAAACATAGAGAATAAAAATTTCTTATGTCTGCATGAGTAAACCCACGATCGGGAGAGGGAGGGAGGAGCATGTTCCTGTCTCCAGTGTCCCAAGTGAAATGATTGCCAAGTGGCGATGCAATATTTTTTCTTTTCTTCTATTTATTACTGTAGTTTTAATTTTAATCATTCCTCACATTTACAAAGGAATCTATTAGACAACAGAGGGAGAAAGACGCCACACTAATCAACGGATACTCGAAATTCCATACCGTGGTTGGAGAAATGGTATCGAGTAAAAAAAACTGTGGGTACCCGGAATCTGCAGATGGAACCATGGTTGGCAAAGGTCATAGGGAAAAATAGGGTTCACTTCCCCAAATGACAAGAAAACTCCAATATCATACCCTAAAAACATGAATCAGTTAAAAAAAAAAAAAAAGCTAACTAACTAATGATAAATAATACACGACTACTGTAATTAACTACCCAACATTAATAAAATATTATCTAGATGAAATTAAGCAGCTAAAACCATTAGAGAAAAGCTAAACGAAAGTTTAACACAGCCACCACTTGCCAAGATGCTGTCTGTCACATGTGGCCGCCCTCAAGCCTCGCCATAGCAATGCAGCCCAGCTGGTGACACTGCCTCTGCCGACCCTTAGCAACGTTACTTCTTTCGCATTACAAAGAAATGTTTATTCCCATTATTTTTTTCACCTTATGATAGTTATTTTTATTTTTTATATTATCACGTTGGATTGTGTGTGCATGTTACTGAGTGAAGAAAAATAAAGAAACTTAAGATTATACGTATATCCAAAATTATGGGTTGAAAAATAACCAGACATAACATCCCCACAGCTCATTCTGCTAACTCCTGCTGCTTAACAAAGAAAGTTATGTTTATCTACCCAAAATTACAAACTGAAATATAACCATAACATAACTCCTACCTCACCCTATTAGGGAGAGGACTAGGGGGGTGTGACCACCCCAACTAACTCCAGGGAGGGGGATTTGAATTTTCGCCGGGACTCAAATTCAGAAGGGGAAGCTTTATAACAAAAAAGGTGGTAATTTAGGAAATTGAAAAGTGTATTTCATGAACTCAGACGTCAGATAGTGAAGGGTACCTGTAACTTTTACCCTTACTGAATGTACAAGGCAAACGTAACTGTAATCACTTCTTACGTCTTAACACTGCTTTAACACTATTCTTGACTAATTGTGTCCTGGTACAGTAATGTACAGAACCGCACAATACAAATTGTACAAAAAACCAGGAGCTAGCAAGGGAACAACCTTCTACAATGACAGCAGAATATGAACTAAGCATGTGAGCCATTGAGCTTACAGCCTGTTACCCAAGCAGCTAGGCCACCCATACTGTAGTGCGGTCACAGCCAACCCGGCGCCTGCCTCGATGGTATATTGGCATAGCCCACACGAAAGTATGAAAATGGAAGGAGCTGCTTTTGTAATACAGAATTAATTTTTGTACAATATTTATGTTACTGTATTTTTTGATGTGTTATGTACAATATTTTGTGTTTATTAGCAGTTTGGTTATTTTTTTACCCCTGGAACCAAACTAATTAATTCCACTAAAATCAATCAAACTATAATTTGCAATTTGATAATTCACAATGTGTTCTGGTACCTAACCCACGAATTATCGTGGCTCCATTGTATAGCGGCATAAGTTTGTGAGTGTTAACTGAACAATCCGCTCGTTTAACATTCATTAGTAATTTTTTGACACAATTTTCACATATAATTCATACATCCCAGTACCATTATTCTAAAGTGTCTAAAAAATAAGTTTAACACCTGGGTTTTGATCAGCACCCGCCCCAAGTGGGTATATTCTGAAACATAAAAAAAATAAATAAAATAAAAATAAAATAAAATTCAATTCTAGTCTTACACACTGACCATGCATGATATAAACAGGAAATAAATACATGTCCTTACCACAGGTTGGCAACACGGGCTACGAAAAGTAAAAAATGTTCATGAAGTGGCACGTGTGTGATGTACTGTATTAGTAAGAGGTAAACAATTCTAATTTATAGGCAGTATGAGGTACAGGATACTTGTTTTACATAAAAAACTTGCATTTTTTGGGGGGGAGCCTCTTAAGATGTTATTGTAATTTGACAAACATAAAAAAGAAAAAAAAAATTAGTCTACTTACAGTGCGATCCATCAGCTGATTTAGCAGAGTTCTGGGGGTTACAGTAGAGGTTGAGGATGAGGACAGTCTGGAAGATGCAGCAAAGTTCATAGTACTTCAAGTAGACAAATTATGAACAAGGCACCAATGACCATCTTGAATACTTTGTGATAAAGATATTGAGTAGTAACTCAATAAATTTCCAGCCAGAGCTAAACTTAGCATCTGAGTACCTCGGGCTGAATGACTCCCTTGTTTTCATCCATGAACAAAATTTATTGTGACAACTGATCATTGATCCAGCAGTTTGTTACATTCAAAAGCTGTTACATAAAGCTACAGCCTCTTTTCACAAAAATGTGACAAGAAAATAAAAATTATTCATTACAAACAGATGGAAGGGATAATGTTGGCTTATTTAAATATAAGACTTCATAATTACTGGCTCAGATATCTTAGATTTAGCACATGACTGTCACCAGCATTACAATGATGTTCAAAGCATGACTATATACAATATGATATATCTGTAATTCATCAGTTAAGGAAAAATAAATAAATAAAAATTAAAAAGTATGCTTTTAAAGGGATAAGACTATATTAATAATTGCTTTAAGATGACAACAGCTAGAAAAAATGAGTTCACATAAGCAGATGGTGTGTTCCATGGTCATGATAAAAATATTTACCCCAGAATAACAAAATAATGCTGTGAGGGGTCAGGAGTGTTCATGGCCACTCATGGTCAAATATAAACATCCCTCAGGTCAACCCAAAGTGAAGATATTTACTTCTGTTTCTTCCTCACATTTAATATTTAGTGAGGAAGACAAGCAAAATATTTAGTGAGGAAGCCAAGCAATAAGTAAATAAGAATGACAAGGAATCACAGAATTTATGATATCTTCTCATACAGCAATTTAATTCTAATAAGGTTCAGAGCTTCAAGTATAATATAGATCAGCTTCTACTGAGTGTATCATATTAAGTAAATCAAGAAGAGTATCAGGCAAATATATATATACAGTATATCATTCGTTACTCATTTACACAGTACTGTATATTATCACAATACTGTACCATAACATTAATTTTCATTTACTGTATTGTACTTTTGGATGTGTAAAATTAGGATATATATGAATGCAGGTGCTGGAAGCCTGGAATGTTTACAATCCACTACAGTAAAATGTAATGTGCAGTGTATCCAATTAAAGTATAATTTTTTTTCAACACATTAACTTCTTGAAGTAATTCTAACTTAATGAAATCCAAAAGATGGCAACTGGTACAATACTCCCTATAACACATACAGCATTATATACACTTAAAGACTTCAGACTTATTAAGATTATCTTGAAGCTGCAATATTTCACCCAGTGAACCGTACAGTATGGATTAGGTTACTCTTGGAGCTGAAACATTTCACCAAATGGATCTCACAATATAGAGCAGGTTAATATTGGGAGCTGAAACAATTTACTAAATGAACCTCACACTATACACAGTCCTAATAAAATCTCCTTTAACCCATTCTGATCATCCAATTTTTATCATACGAGTATTCCTCCTGCCTCCTCCTCATCTTTTTGGGAGGCTCACAGACGACAACTACCTTTACCTTTACCTATTTACTGGAAGATTGGATGAATATTGCATAAAGCATATCCGGAACACACTGTAAACAAACACAGCATTTAAATACTGTAAATACCAAACACAATCATATAATCACAATCTAAAAGTATATCAGCTACACAAACCCATAAACAAGAAATAAAAGGGCACTAAATCCATAAAGCTTAAAGGCCATCCTAAATGATTTTTTAACACTGTTTATTTAACCTACACTTCTCCCTGTCATAACTCTTTTAATATATTTCCATGCTGCATATATATATATATATATAAGCTCCTCTATGTGTGTGTTGGTGTGGGGATTAGTGGATGACATCATTATGACCTGACCTCGTGTTTAATAAGGTCACCCTGTATATTTAAGCCTCTCTCTGTCCATGTAATCCAGTTGCCTCTGAAGATGTCTTGAATAAAGACGAAAGCTAAGGTGCTCCGTTGTTTCCCTTTTCCCGTGTGATTTTATCAAGATTTATCTTATCCACGTTTTCATTGTGGATCTGCATGAAATATATATATATATATATATATATATATATATATATATATATTAAAATAATGTTTGTTTATATATAGAAGATTCTATAAAAATTATTCAAAGCAATCGTGTTTATTGAACATCAGAAGAGCATTTAATTTTTAGTGTACATGTAGTACATGTATATATAAAATACCATCATACACCAAAAAATTATTCGGCATTCTTACGGCGTGATACAATATGACATGGGTGATGATAATTTTTTAGTGGGTGTACCTTCAAAATTATGAATATGAAAAAAAATTATTCTCGTAACAATTTGCTAGTTTCAGCCAATATTTCTTTCTGAGATTTGATATATGGCAGCTAGATCTGTTTTATGGAGATACAGTACAAGATTATCTTCATAACTCATATGAAATATATTGAGCACAGAACTGGGTGAAGTTTTCACCCTTACAGTATGAGTCAAGTTTTACCTTGTAGTCCTCACTGTGAGTCTTGCACCAAATTTCCATTTCATTCCTCCCCTTTTGAAACCAATATACACAGCTGTTTTCTGTAAAGCTGTCATTACATAATTCTTTTTAAAAAGTTTGACTATTAAGGGCTGGTACATCAACAGTCTCAGTCAGAGAAATAACTTGCAAGTGCTTACAATAGTAAACTGCATATGATCAATAAAAGGACTAATATTAGATTTCTCACTGAAGAATCAAGCACTGATGAAATGGAACATAAGTGCCTTCATACACTGTAATCTGAACCTTTTAACTTCTTTGTCTTCCAATTCACATGGGTTGTAGATATGATTTACCTTAGCTACTATTTCCTTGTCTATTTGTACAGTTTTATAATTGTTTCTCATATGTTTTTATAATATTTTCCAAACTACACAAATGGATATGGACTATAATCAACTGGAGGATATACCTCTATAAACATCTGCATTTTTCTTCAGTCATACAAATCATTTAACAAAAGCCACAGGCACACCTTTTCCAAAAAGATTGAGTTCGAAAAATTTTATGTCATGTTTTTCAATACATTTAGAAAGTGACTAGGCATAAAGACTTGCCCTAATTACATTCTTGACCCAATTGGGTGAGATATTATTTGCAAAGTCTCACCCAAAAGTTCGCTAACTCTGCCAGCCAGCAATTGCTGCACCGCTTGCTTCAGATGTATAAACTTGAGTCTGTTACTTCGAACCTTTAGATTCATTCGTATCGGTTTCATGTTCTGGTTGGTACTGAGACAGTTTCAAACATCTGAAGCAGGCAGTGCAGCAACAACAGGTTGGGAGAGTTAACGAACTTTTGGGTGAGACTGTACCAACAGAGTGAGTACACTGGTGCACTGTAGGTAGTTTTGGTGCGAGTGCTGTCTTCACAATCGCCCAACTTTGATTTTAACTGAACTAGTTTGGAATATCTGCTGGATTTTTACTTGGGGTCCTGATGTTTGTTAAGTTGTAACTTTTCTTGCTATTAGAGGCAACTCACTGGGTGACAGAAAATAGGAGTTAAGAATCCTATCACTAAAAAGCATTATCTCTTACATAGGTATTGAAAATCTTGTTTCTTGAGGGGCTTGCTGCATCTGTTCCTTCCTATTTACTAGTAAGAAATAGTGAGACTGGTATTTAGAGAGACATCAGGGGTTATTTAACTTACTGTTACTAAAACTTGTCACAAAATTGTATATAAATACCTTTTTGATAATTATGAAAATCCTTCAGAATGGCCTTCAATACATGTCTTTAAACAAAAAATTGCCCCATACATAAGCAGATACTAAATGTCTGCTAAATTACAGGGTAAGCATTAAAATCCCTTCAGTCAATAATGATGAAAAAGCTGAAATTTCTATTAGAAATTTTTTAAATAACTCATTAATATATATATATATATATATATATATATATATATATATATATATATATATATATATATATATATATATATATATATATATATATATATATATATATATATATATAGCTGCAAGTAATCATTATCACAACAATAAGACAACCAAATGTAGCATAAAAGTAAATAACAAAGGTATACTAACCCATCTTGCACTCTACCAAGTGTATGTGCGTATTGGTGCTGAGTTTGCTGGATGGGTATGATAACCTGGGCTCAGAGTGATCATACATGGCTAGATAAAAAGACAAAGACACAACTCAGTGGATCACACAAAAGGGGAGGAGAGGAGGGAAAAACAACTAACGCTTTTGCTACCAGTTAGTACTTATTGATAGCAAAATCCCACATGGGACAACCTGCATGACTCATCTAGGGATAAAATCTAATATTGTATTGAGGTAAAAATCCTCTGAAGTTTAATTATGGATTAAAAAAAAATAATTTCAACAACAATTTCTCTGACTGCTGAATGGAAAACACAAAAGGGAACTTTTAAGTACTGTACTGTGTTACTGTATCTGCAATTCCATCTTTTAAATGCTTCTCATATTATTTTTTTTTATTGGTAGTAAAGGCATTTCCTCTTCTAATGAGATTATTAATGTATTGAATAGAGGGAATTTTATATATAAATCTGAAAAGAAAAGGAAGCACTACTTGTAACATCATAACTGTTCTGAAGAAATAAAATAAAAATGGGAAAAAATAATTAGTAGTCAATTGTCTTATTTGTAGATCCTAAAATAAGACCAAGAGATCAAACATTATAGTATGGATGAAGGCTACCATGGAGACAGTTACCTGACTAAAAGTTGGCTTGTTATGAATTCTTGAACAGCGGTCTCCATGACGGCATGCTCCTATTTTGAAATAGAAGCTGCAATTGACCCTGAAAGACAGTGACAGTTAAAGTGGGTCCCATATGCATGACTATCCATTAGGGTACTTATTAAGTGTAAGATTAAATGAAAGCAAAGGTGAGAACAATTCTTGAAATAATTGTATCAGGAATGTAAACCACAATGTCACGTTATGTGTGTGATAATACAAACTGGCTGGTCTAAAACACCAGTATGATCTTTTAACTGCTAGCATGTTATGGTGTGGTTTGATGGTGTTTCAACACAAATGTACAATCATGCCTTAACCCCTAAATTCACATTTATAAAACAATACACATACTGTACAGTCAATTATACTGTAGTATGGCCATTAGTATACAGTACCTTATGCAGTACTGTACATTTCTGATTTTTTTAACAATAATTTGAAGATGAATTCAAAGATACTTGCAGCAGTTGTATAAGGCTTCTAGCTCTCAAATTTCCTCAAGAACTATATTTACTTTCCTTGTGTGCCTCACACTTCATCTGAATCCAAGCACTCTACCACCTCTCCATGACTAAGTGATAATGTACAACTGGAACTACCCTGCAAATGTTTATCCCATAACTGCTGTATTTTAGAGACAGTGATAGTTGAGAAAATGGACCGATACTAATAGGAGTAAAATGGTAAAATGTGTGTGCTCTCGGATGAATGCTGATACTTTCATATTATAAAAATAATAGAATACGGTAATCCCTAGATAAGACATACTGGTATCAATGTGTTATAAAAAAAAATAAAGTTACTGTTGTTTTATTTCCAAGTAATATCTAATTAGATAAATAAAGTACACAAGTCTTAAACTTTTTTTCTTTGCAATTTCTATTTGGGGGAAAAAACACAAACCATGTTTTAAATCAGGCAAAAATTAACAAACCAGATCTACCCTACCCTACTTCAATACTAGTGCAGTTAGATAGCTTAAACTGTATTTGACTGGTTGTTCATGGTAACTTGAGCTATCATAGCAGACCTACATATTAACAGCAGATAATACCTTCCAAAATGTAATTTGTGTATATTCAGTACAAGTATAAATTAGTGACTCATTTTTATTCAACACAACATATACCGAGTCTTTCGTTAACCGAAAATTTTGTTAACCGAATCCATTGTTTCAATGGGAGAAGGGTGACCATTCCAATCCCTCTAACTATTGCCCCATTGCCCTAACTTCATCCCTCTCTAAGATTTTCAAAACTATCTTAAACTCCCCTATTCTCCGTCACCTTGAATGCCTTTCTCTTTAGTCGGAACACCAGTATGGCTTTCACCCGGCGATATATACTGGTGATCATCTGCTCTCCTCTACTGCACCCCTCTCTGGTCATCTTCTCTTAGGAATCAGGGAGAAACTTTCGTCGTGGCCCTCGACATCTCCAAAGCATTTGACAGGGTATGGCACAAGTCTTTGCTTTCTAAACTTCCCTCTTATAGTTTCTCTCCCCCACTTTGTTCTCCAATTTCTATCTTCCTTGAGAACCGATCCATGGCAGTTGTTGTCCCACAGGGTTCTGTTCTTTCACCTACTCTCTTTCTTCTTTTTATCAATGATTTACTTCACACTACGACGAAGTATATCCATTCTTACGCTGACGATTCTACTCTTCACTCTTCACATTTTTCCCTTCCCCCTAATTCTCAAACTAGATCTGTTTCTAGAGCTGATATCATTTCATCTGTCAATGCGGATCTGTACAGCATCTCTGAATGGGGAGGTAGAAACTTGGCTAAATTCAATAGCAATAAAACACAGTATTTACCAATTACACTTTCCAAATTAGATGATCTCCCACCAATCACATTTCAGGATGCAATCATTCTGCCAATTTCTAAAATAGATATGCTAGGCCTCACCATTTCCTCTAATATGTCACGGAAGCCACACATCCACAACAATGCTAAAGCTGCCTCCCGAAAGCTGGGAATGCTGTACAGATGCCGTAGCTACTTCACTCCTGAGCAGTTGCTTCAAGTTTATAAGAGCATCATTTGTCCAAACTTGGAGTACTGCTCTCATATCTGGGGTGGTCCTTCTTCTGTACAACTGTTAGACAGGGTGGAATCAAAGGCATTTCGTCTTATTAACTCTCCTCCTTTAATTGATAATCTTTCTTCCCTTTCTCTTCGCCGCACTGCTGCTTCACTCTCTCTCTTTTACAGGTAATTTAACAGGCAATGTTCAGTGGGTTTGGAATCCTGTGTACCGCCAACAAGGCCGTGGGCTCATAGCACTTGTCTTGCCCTTGGTGCCCACCGTTTCTCTATGGATGTCGGTCACACTAGAATAACCCGTTATAGCACATCCTTCTTTCCTCACACAGCCAAACTGTGGAATGCTCTGTCTTCTTCTGTGTTTCCATACGCATACAATGTCTCGCTTCAAAAAGCTGGTTTTCGAGCATCTTTGTGGTGTAGATTAATATAATCATTTTCTTCTCTATTTTCAATTACTTTTTACTTTTATTCCCCCGGCCCCATTGAGGGTTAATGACCTGTGCCCAGATGGGCTATTCCCCATAAAAATAAAATAAAAAAACAACCTAACCCTTCAGCCGTGATATCATGGTCGACACACGCTAACGAGGACTGAGAGCAATCTGTGTACAGAGGTAAGATGAAAAATAACTTAAATTTTTAAGGTAAACACACCCCATATTTGGGTTAGGTTTTATTTTACCTTCAGACATAGTGTACCCCCAAGTTGTAAACTACTGAAACATTTATATCTCCCTATTCTGAGCATTTTGAACCCTATATTTACCATTCGGAAATGTAAAATAGCGACACAATTGAATTTAATTAATTTTACATACTTTTCAGTCTTCGTTTCTGTGAAGAGATGTAATCTGCGTGAAACCGAGTTAATTAAGAGTGTGTTTACATCACGAATGCGCAATGTTGACTGACGTCATCCAGTCGTAACCAATGATGTATCAATCTCATCGAGAAGTGGTTGGCAATCCGATTTATTCATGTAGGACCATCATTTGATTTCATTGCTGCTACATTTGGGTAATTAGTCGGACCGCAGTAAAGTGTCTTCATCACTTCTTGGAAGAAACTGCCAGCCTATACCTCCCGTTAAGCGAGGTTCAGCGTCAGCAACCTGTAAGAATCTCAAAATTCAACGACGAACAAGAACCAGGCCAATAAGGTAATAGATGATTCCATCATATGGTGAGAGTTAGTTAGGTTAGGTTTGGTTTATGTTTTTCTAGTGTTTTTTGGTCTATTTTGTATTCGCTTAGCCATTTTTTTTTTGGAAAACGTCCCACGAAAACAAATCGATAAAAAAACGGCCAATTTCCGACAGAAATGAAGGTCATATTCGGTTTAAACACACACAAATACACTAGGAATATATATTTTTGACTTTCTAACAGAGTGGGGTGCGCTTATGCAAATTTACCGTTTAAGCTAGGCCTACCAGGGGTCCGTGGCACAAGCTTAGCAACTTTGTAGTAAGTGCTGGAACTCTGGAAAGTTTCAAAAGGAGGCTGGATAGGTTCATGGATGATAGAGAGTGGTAGTAACTCTCGACAGGAGCTGCCATGCACAGAACCGGCCTATTGCAGACTCCTTATTTTCTTATGTTCTTATGTCACGTTGTTAGGTTAGGCTAGGTTAGGCCTGGTAAGATGACTCGTTTTTGTGTTTTCCCCTACCCAAAATACCCCATTTCCCAGGCTCCCCCCCCCATTATTATTGGGGGGTCAGGGTGGGGCAAAAATTATAAATTTCCGCCAAAAATGGTCAGGATCGCTTAAAATACACTGGAAAAACATATTGGTCAACCCATAGGGACTCATATAAATTCACCCAATTAACACTTGGAAGTACCTTAACGTGTGATTAAGTCTATCCCTCTATGACAATACTCGGCCCTCGTTAACCTACCCACCTGCACAATAATGTCCTTTTCATGGATATTATAATCAATTTCAAAGAATGATAGAGTATAACTATTACAAACGACCAAGTCATTAGAATTTCTTACTTATCCTTCTCAGTGCCGAAAATCGATGCTAGATACTCAGCCATGTTGATGACAAACTGAGATGATGGTTCAATACACACTATGTAACTCAAATGTTTAATATTACATTTTAAAACAAGAAATTATCAGAAAAATTGGGGTAAAATAGTGGATTTATGTTTTTCATGCGTAGTAGTGTATTAATGATAAAATAGTATAACAAGAAATCCATAACCAAGGCTAACTACTTCCTTTTATATTTTCAAAGATAAAGGAAGCCGGTGGTTTGTTTAATATCCCATTATTATATTAGCGTGTGGACAAGAATGATTCTAATCAAGTTAAACAGAAATATTCAACCCCGAGTAGGAGATGTATGATGGACAGCATTAATATAAAGAAATCATACTGTGAGAAGGATTTAGGGATAATGAATAATGATAAGAACCTAAACCCAGACATGGCTAACAAGGTACTTGGATTCATATAAAAGTGTTATTACAAGACTAGCGAGGTTATCTTAAAACCATGAGACTTCACATGGATTATGTGGTTTAGTTTTGGTCAACGTACTCCAGAACGGATATCGAATACCTAGAAAGCTTTCAGAGGAGGATGGCAAGGCTAATAATCCCGGGCATTTGGAACCTTGAGTATGGAGACAAATTAAAGTACCTGAATTTGCACTCCCTCGACAGACGTGGTGTGAGGGTGTAGTGGATTCCTCCCCTACAAACGCCGTTTGTCGCGGAGTAGTCGACCCTCTTCGAATTTCCCAGCCTGCGCCTCGTGGTCTAGGTCGGCAACCAGCGCCGCCTAACATAGCGGAGGTCAACTATCAAGCCACGCCTACCACCGCTTTATAAGACCTCACGTGGCCGTGACCTACCTCTTTCTCCTAGCTCAGCCCCAGCAAGCAACACCTCCTCCGCTCCTGCCTGGGGGCTCCCCCTCTCGCCGGCGACTATGGCGTCCCACAAGATGCGTGTCCTCCTCTGAGCACCTTCACCAACCAGCTCTCTCTACACCACGCTTGGACTCACGCTGCCACTCCCCAGCACCAAGCTGCATTGTACACCCAATACAATATGTATACAGAGAGCACATTGCGAGTTTGTGGGGTTTTAGGGATGTTTGGTTCACACTCAGGATGGAATGGAGAAAGGAAACTCACATGTGCTCTCTATATACATGTTGTATTGGATGTACAATGCAGCTTGGTGCTGGGAAGGCAGCATGGTTACAAGCGTGATGTAGAGAGAGCTGGTTGGTGAGGATGCTGTATATATATATACAGTATTTTAATTACATTTGCAATGCTAATTACTCGCCACTTATGGGTTTTCGAGGTCATTTCTTGGTGCTTGTGTATTATTCTGGATGTACTTAAATAGTTAGGCACATTAAATTTTAGTTCAGAGAGAAAACGTATTTTTGGCCAAAAATCCTTTAAGGCTATAGACTTACAATTTTTGTCATTTCGGCCAAAAATGGATTTTGTTCAAAATTTCAGTATATGTGCTCCTGAATGTGCTGCTTAAGGATCTGTTAACCAAAATTTGATATCTTGATTATAACTTGTTCAAATGGCTTTTAGAAAATGTTCAAATGATTTTTAGAATATTTTAATTACTTTTGCAATGCTAATTATGCGCCACTTATGGGTTTTCGAGGTCATTTCTTGGTGCTTGTGTATTATTCTGGATGTACTTAAATAGTTAGGCACATTAAATTTTAGTTCAGAGAGAAAACGTATTTTTGGCCAAAAATCCTTTAAGGCTATAGACTTACAATTTTCGTCATTTCGGCCAAAAAATGGATTTTGTTCAAAATTTCAGTATAGGTACTCCTTAATGTGCTGCTTAAGGATCTGTTAACCAAAATTTGATATCTTGATTATAACTTGTTCAAATGGCTTTTAGAAAATGTTCAAATGATTTTTAGAATATTTTAGTACTTTTGCAATGCTAATTACTCGCCACACTTATGGGTTTTTCGAGGTCATTTCTTGGTGCTTGTGTATTATTCTGGATGTGCTTAAATAGTTAGGCACATTAATTTTTAGTTCAGAGAGAAAACGTATTTTTAATAAAAATCCTTTAAGGCTATAGACTTACAATTTTTCATCATTCGGCCAAAAAAATGGATTTTGTTCAAAATTTCAGTATAGGTACTCTCCTGAATGTGCTGCTTAAGAATCTATTAACCAAAATTTGATATCTTGATTATAACTTGTTCAAATGGCACAGAAAATGTTCAAATGATTTTTAGAATATTTTAATTACTTTTAATGCTAATTACTACGCCACTTATGGGTTTTTCGAGGTCATTTCTTGGTGCTTGTATTATTCTGGATGTTAGCAAATAGTTAGGCACATTAAATTTTAGTTCAGAGAGAAAAAGTATTTTTGGCCAAAAATCCTTTAAGGCAATATAGACTTACAATTTTTGTCATTTTCGGCCAAAAAATGGATTTTGTTCAAAATTTCAGTATAGGTACTCCTGAATGTGCTGCTTAAGGATCTGTTAACCAAAATTTGATATCTTGATTATAACTTGTTCAAATGGCTTTTAGAAAATGTTCAAATGATTTTTAGAATATTTTTATTACTTTTGCAATGCTAATTACTCGCCGCCCCGCTAGGTTTTTCAGGTCATTTTCTTGTTGCTTGTGTATTATTCTGGATGTACTTAAATAATTAGGCACATTAAATTTTAGTTCAGAGAGAAAAAGTATTTTTGGCCAAAAATCCTTTAAGGCTATAGACTTACAATTTTTGTCATTTTCGGCCAAAAAATGGATTTTGTTCAAAATTTCAGTATAGGTACTCCTGAATGTGCTGATTAAGGATCTGTTAACCAAAATTTGATATCTTGATTATAACTTGTTCAAATGGCTTTTTGAAAATGTTCAAATGATTTTTTGAATCTTTTAATTACTTTTGCAATGCTAATTACTCGCCACTTATGGGTTTTCGAGGTCATTTCTTGGTGCTTGTGTATTATTCTGGATGTACTTAAATAGTTAGGCACATTAAATTTTAGTTCAGAGAGAAAACGTATTTTTGGCCAAAAATCCTTTAAGGCTATATAGACTTACAATTTTCGTCATTTCGGCCAAAAATGGATTTTGTTCAAAATTTCAGTATAGGTACTCCTGAATGTGCTGCTTAAGGATCTGTTAACCAAAATTTGATATCTTGATTATAACTTGTTCAAATGGCTTTTAGAAAATGTTCAAATGATTTTTAGAATATTTTAATTACTTTTGCAATGCTAATTACTCGCCACTTATGGGTTTTCGAGGTCATTTCTTGGTGCTTGTGTATTATTCTGGATGTACTTAAATAGTTAGGCACATTAAATTTTAGTTCAGAGAGAAAATGTATTTTTGGCCAAACTTACAATTTTTGTCATTTTCGGCCAAAAAATGGATTTTGTTCAAAATTTCAGTATAGGTACTCCTGAATGTGCTGCTTAAGGATCTGTTAACCAAAATTTGATATCTTGATTATAACTTGTTCAAATGGCTTTTAGAAAATGTTCAAATGATTTTTAGAATATTTTAATTACTTTTGCAATGCTAATTACTCGCCACTTATGGGTTTTCGAGGTCATTTCTTGGTGCTTATGTATTATTCTGGATGTACTTAAATAGTTAGGCACATTAAATTTTAGTTCAGAGAGAAAACGTAATTTTGGCCAAAAATCCTTTTAGGCTTTAGACTTACAATTTTTGTCATTTCGGCCCAAAAATGGATTTTGTTCAAAATTTCATTATAGGTACTCCTGAATGTGCTGCTTAAGGATCTGTTAACCAAAATTTGATATCTTGATTATAACTTGTTCAAATAACTTTTAGAAAATGTTCAAATGATTTTTAGAATATTTTAATTACTTTTGCAATGCTAATTACTCGCCACTTGTGGGTTTTCGAGGTCATTTCTTGGTGCTTGTGTATTATTCTGGATGTACTTAAATAGTTAGGCACATTAAATTTTAGTTCAGAGAGAAAACGTATTTTGGCCAAAAATCCTTTAAGGCTATAGACTTACAATTTTCGTCATTTCGGCCAAGAAATGGATTTTGTTCAAAATTTCAGTATAGGTACTCCTGAATGTGCTGCTTAAGGATCTGTTAACCAAAATTTGATATCTTGATTTTAACTTGTTCAAATGGCTTTTAGAAAATGTTCAAATGATTTTTAGAATATTTTAATTACTTTTGCAATGCTAATTACTCTTCCTTATGGGTTTCGAGGTCATTTCTTGGTGCTTGTGTATTCTGGATATTACTTAAATAGTTAGGCACATTAAATTTTTAGTTCCAGAGAAAACGTATTTTTGGCCAAAATCCTTTAAGGCTATAGACTTACAATTTTCGTCCTTTCGTAAATGGATTTTGTTCAAAAAAAAATTTCAGAATAGGTACTCCTGAATGTGTGCTGCTTGGGATCTATTAGCAAATTTGATATACTTGATTATAACATTCCAAATTGCTTTACCAAAATGTTCAAAATGATTTTAGGAATATTTTATTGCTTGCAATGCTAATTACTCTTCACTTATGGGTTTTCGAGATATTTTCTTGGTGCTTGTGTATTATTCTGGATGTACTTAAATAGTTAGGCACATTAAATTTTAGTTCAGAGAGAAAACGTATTTTGGCCAAAAATCCTTTAAGGCTATAGACTTACAATTTTCGTCATTTCGGCCAAAAAATGGATTTTGTTCAAAATTTCAGTATAGGTACTCCTGAATGTGCTGCTTAAGGATCTGTTAACCAAAATTTGATATCTTGATTATAACTTGTTCAAATGGTTTTTAGAAAATGTTCAAATGATTTTTAGAATATTTTAATTTCTTTTGCAATGCTAATTACTCGCCACTTATGGGTTTTCGAGGTCATTTCTGGTGCTGTGTATTATTCTGATGTACTTAAATAGTTAGGCACATTAAATTTTAGTTCAGAGAGAAAATGTATTTTTTGGCCAAACTACAATTTTTTGTCATTTCGGCCAAAAAAGGGATTTTGTTCAAAATTTCAGTATAGGTACTCCTGAATGTGCTGCTTAAGG